AAAAAAAAAAAAAAATTAGCTGGGCATGGTGGCAGGTGCCTGTAGTCCCAGCTACTTGGGGGGCTGAGGCAGGAGAATCGCTTGAACCTGGGAGGCGGAGGTTGCAGTGAGCTGCAATGGCGCCACTGCATTCCAGCCTGGGTGACAGAGTGAGATCCTGTCTCAAACAAACAAAAAAAAGGCAGAGGGAGAACAGCATTTCTCAGGTGCTTCCCCTCCTCCAGCCCTCACCCAGTCAAGTGCTGGGGGATGAAGAGCTCTGAGCTGTGAGAGTGCATTGTCTCACAGCTGCCCTGCTGCAGCATCGTTCTGTGGCACAATGGGAGTGTGCCCTGATTGTTTCCCATTCAGGTTTTTTCCCATTGGCTTCTCTTAGGTGGTTGCTTTCTTGCCACAACTTCTTGCCTTGAAATTAACCAATTAATTTTGCTTAGTAAGATTATGTTAAGGCTCTTTGTGAACCTTCACTTGCTTCCCAAATGTAGATCATGACTGAAAGGCCACACCTGGCAATGGCAAGAGGGCAGACTTTGAGTAGGAAGGCCCTGGTTCTCATCTGGCATTGGTTGCCATGGCCACTTATGAGCTCTGTGACCTTGGATAGGTCACTCAACCTTTCGGAGCCTGTTTCCTGGACTGTGATTGGGATGTTAATGGTAGCACCCCCACTCCTCTGCCCTAGCTCCACACAGGTGAGGAGGGCACAGGGCAACCACAGATGGTGGCTGTTATTCCTGCAGGTGTGCCAGGTCAGCGCTCAGCAGCCCGTCCAGACAGAACTGCTCATGCGGTATCACCAGCTGCAGTCCAGACTGGCCACCCTCAAGATAGAGAATGAGGAGGTGAGTGAGCCCCTCTGCCCTATAAGGGATTTCCTTTGGAAGGCCTGGCTTGTCCCAAGGAGTCCACTTGTACCACGGAATGCATAAGAAATGATAGTTCCACTTATAAGATGGAGTAGTACACAATCATTAAAACCACACACACTAAGAATCATTAATAGCCTGGGGGAATGCTTATAAGATGTTAAATTGAAGAAAAACAAAAGGCAGGGGGCTGAGGCAAGAGAATTTTTTGAACCTGGGAGACAGAGGTTACAGTGAGCTGAGATCACGCCACTGCACTCCAGCCTGGATGACAGAGTGAGGCTCCATCTCAAAACAAACAAACAAACAAAACACAAAAGGAAATAGGACTGTATGTTCAGTATTGCCATAACTGCAGTAAACTAAAGCATGTGTATATTCCTAGGCATAGAGAAAAGACTGGAGAGAAATGCTTAAATGTTATTAGTTGCTATGTTTGGGTTGTGGGGTGATAGGTGCTTTCTGTTTACTTCTTTGTGCTTTCTTCTATTTTCTGCAATGAATTTCTGTTTTATCATTAGAAATAACAGTAGGTATTTTAAATTACACAATGAAATAAACAACCCAGGGCACACTAAATGTGACACGGATTCTGAGCTCCAAGGAGCGGGTCAGTCTTACCAGGCCCAGCCTCCCTCCTCTGCAGCTGTGGGGCATAGGATTCTCAGCAAGTGGGTACAGATGGAAATACCAGTGCAGTGGCTCTATTCTGTGGACTGAAGAGGCCAGATGGGAAACATCCTTTTCCAACCTGGACTCCTCCTCCAAAGAGGATGTCAACAAACTGGAGGCCCCTGGAGAAAGGATACCAGGATGGAGGGAGTGACACTCGAGGTCATGGGCAGGTTTATTCTTGAAACTGCAGTCACAGTGGGGAGGTGGGAAGACACAGTCCTGATCTTCAAATCTCAAGAGTGCTATCCTGGGCAGAGAGGGCAACTTTGCTTTTCAACTCCACAAAGGACATACCTAGGACAAATGTGAGACAGATTGGAGCTCAGGATGATAGCAAATCAGTGCAGTCCCCAGGGGGAGGTTGTATGGAGATAAATTATATATTTGTTTTTCAAACCTGGAAAGAGACAGGAGATGAACAGAGTGTTTTCTTTATTTATTTATGCCCTATATCTTCCCTCAAAGGATTTTAAATTGTTTACACGGAATAGCATATGGATCATAATGTTAATGGAATTTAAATTGGAAATCAGGGCCAAAGAAAGGAGAATGAAGCCAGTGTTCCTCTGTATGAGCTGCTAACGAGCTTGAATAGACTTAATTTTGAACCTGAGCTTCCTGTCATGCTGCATTAGAAAGAAGAATTGATTCATGTATTCATTCAACAATATTTATTCAAGTATTTATAGAGCACATATTGTGTACCAAACATTGTTCTAGATAGAGAATAAAGTGAGTGAACACAGCACAACATAGCACCTCCTCTCCGGGAGGGAATATTCTAGTGAGAAAAGACAGATAATACTTAAAACTGTTGACAAAGAGAGTCAAACTCTGTAAAATACTTGAAGAGATTTATTCTGAGCTAAATATGAGTGACCAATGGCCTGTAACATGGCCCTCAGGAGATACTGAAAACATGTACCCAAGGTGGTTGGGCCACAACTTGATTGTATACATTTTAGGGAGATGTAAGGCATCAATCAATACATGTAAGATGTACTTGGTTTGGTCTGGAAAGGTGGAACAACTGGAAGCAGGGGCTTTCAGGTCACAGGCAGATTCAAAGATTTTCTGATTGGCAATTGGTTGAAACAGTTAAGTTATTGTCTAAAGAAAGGGTTAAGATAAGGGGTTGTGCAGACCAAGGTTTTATCATGGAGATGAAACCTCCAGGTAATAGGCTTCAGAGGATAGACTGTAAACGTTTCTATCAGACTTAAAGAGTCTGTTCTAACAGTAATTCCAAAAAGGAGGAGGGTATAATGAGGTAGGTTTGCCGCCCCCTTCCCATCATGGCCTGAACTAGTTTTTCAGGTTAACATTGGAATGCCCTTGACCGAGAGGAGAGGTCCATTCAGATGGTTGGGGGCTTAGAATTTTATTTTTCATTTACAAAACACAAAAACAAGCCAAGAAATGAATGAGCTTAGAAAATATTAGACAGTAATAGACACTGAGTGAAGATATCGGGGGGGCCTGATGTCACCAGGAGGTGACATTTAAGCTGAGGTCTGAGTGACAAGACATAGGCTTTGAGTGACAATAATTTTATAACAAACATTGGAGGCAGTTTTTCCAGGTACTATTTTTGGAACCAGCCTCCAAAGCAAAGAATCTGCCCTTTAGGCACAGTTCAGCAAAGGGGTGCTGTAAGGTCAGGGCCTGTGGACCCTACTCATGCAGGCTTCTGGTGGTCCCATGAAATTCCAGAAGAAAAACTGGAGTCCTAACTGAGCAATGTGTGTCTTCCTGGAGTTTTCCTTTTCTCAGCAGCTGTCTTCCTGGAGTTTTCCTTTTCTCAGCTGGGCTTTTGATAGGAGTCCAATAGCAGATACCTGGAGAGTTTGTTCACGAAGAATGGCTGCCCACCATTGTCAGCTTTGTCTCTACCCTTCTCTGAATGAAGAGAACTAGAGCGTGTCTAATGTTGTCTCTATTCAACTGACCACCTTGCATTGGAGGAGCTGGTTTGGAGTTACATAATTAGGCCAAGAGAAGCAAATCTAGAAACCTGGGTTCCTCATTTGTTGCAACATTCCTCAAGGTTCTCTCTGTCAGGAGCCATACATAGAATGTCTTCAAATTGGGCAACCTGGCTTCTCATCCCAGCCAGCTGTGTGATTTTGGGCTAGTGACTAATTTGTGTTTTCCACATTAATACAGTGAGAAGGATTATTTTTGTTCGGCCTATATTCTAGGGATTTTACATGGAAGAAGTAAAGCGACAGTTGGGAAAGGGACTTTAAGGGTCAACAGCAGTATGAAAATACAGGATTTTTGTCAATCTGCTGTGTTTCTCCAGGTTAGGAAAACCCTGGATGCCACCATGCAGACATTACAGGACATGCTGACTGTGGAGGACTTTGATGTCTCCGATGCCTTCCAACACAGTCGATCAACAGAGTCTGTCAAGTCGGCTGCCTCTGAGACCTACATGAGCAAGATCAACATTGCCAAGAGGAGAGCCAACCAGCAGGAAACAGAAATGTTTTATTTTACAGTAAGTGGCATCCTGGGCCCAGAACCACAGTGTCTGTCAACCCACTGGCAGTGACTTTTCAGGAGCAACCCAAGCTACTGAGAACCAGAGAAACCACATGGACCTAAGACTCCACCACCATGCTTTTAAAATTAAGTTGCCTGGCTTGGTTTTCTGAAATGCAGAAAGTGAATTCCCAATGGGTAGCACTGGCATTGATCTTGGGTGATGATTATTGACATTTTCTTGCTCTAGGAAAAAACCGAGACAGTTTTATTCAGTGGGGTAATAAGAAAATGGCTAACAGAGTCAGGTGCAAGTCCCAAGGAACAACCCTAAAATTATGTATATAGATTATCATGTTGAATTGTCTTAAATTTAGGTGTGAGCTTTGGAAAAAAATGCCCTAAAGAATCCAAGCAAATTGCTCTTTAGTTGCTTGCCCTTCATGTAAAATCCCATGTTAATTATCTTCCATTTGGACAGGGGACCTTAAATCTTCCATAGGATGCTTGAGTCTGTTCAGCCATATCCCTGCCCAGAGGCCATCCTGACTCTGCCTGCTTGCTCCCAAGATTAAAAGCTCCCTTTTCCCCCAAACAGCCCTTTTGTTTGCATTGTGCCTGGCTTTTAGTATTATCATGTTTTCCTTTATCTTTGCTATCTTCAAAAATCTACCTCACTGGGATTTCTTGGTTCTCTTCTCTGGGGCCACCCAGAGTGGAGGCTAATTCTACATGACAGTATTTCACATGGTTGCAGGGAACTGGGATTTCATTTCTCCAGGCTAAATGTATCTGATTCTTTCAGTCCTGCCTTATAAACTTTTGTTTTGAGTAGCCTCAGTATCCTAGTGACTCTCTCCTGAACATGTTCCATGTGCTGATGCCTCTTCTAAGGTGAGACTCCAAGCAGTGGTCTGCCCAACACAGAATTGAGCAAAATTGGCTGGGCGTGGTGGCTCACGCCTGTAATCCCAGCTCTTTGGGAGGCCAAGGTGGGCGGATTGCCTGAGCTCAGGAGTTCGAGACCAGCCTGGGCAACATGGTGAAAAGCCGTCTCTACTAAAATACAAAAAATTAGCTGGGTGTGGTAGTGTGTGCCTGTAGTCCCAGCTACTCGGGAGGCTGAAGCAGGAGAATTGCTTGAACCTGGGAAGCAGGGTTTGCAGTGAGCCAAGATTGTGCCACTGCCTCTAGCCTGGGAAACAGAGTGAGACTCTGTCTCAAAGAAAAAAAAAAAAAAAAAGAATTGAGCAAAATGTTCACCCCTTCTATACCAGGTACTGTGCTCCTATTCATACGTTCTAAGATCATATTCTTTTAGTATTATTTTAAGGCGAAGTTAATATCAGTTATAGCTCTCTTCCCTGCACGCTACCATTAAGCAGGCCTCACTCTTCCTAAGGTTTTGTAGGGGATGTCTTGGGCAGGTCTTCTGTTTATCACCAGTTAGTTTTCCTCTTGATGAATTCAATTCATGGTTTTAGTCAACATCCTGATCCAGTTACTCAGCATACATGCTGTCTCCTCAAACCTGTGTTACCTGCAGATTCAGTGAGCGTGGCTTCCAAAGTTTAATCAATTTAAAGACTAATGGATATACCAAGGCCAGGGCCAAAGACAGAGTTGTTAAAAATATGCAACTAGGGCCAGGCGCCATGGCTCATGCCTATAATCATAACACTTTGGGAGACCGAGGTAGGAGGATCCCTTTAGCTCAAGAGTTTGAGACCAGCTTGGGCAACATAGGACGACTCCATTTCTACAAAGAAAAAAAAAAAAAAAAGGCTAGACATGGTCCATATCTGTGGTCCCAGCTACTCAGGAGGGTGAGGTGGAAGGATTGCTTGAGCCTAGGAGGTTGAGACTGCAGTGAGTCGAGATTGTACCACTGCACTCCAGCCTGGGCAACGGAGCGAGACACAAAAAAAAAAAAAAAAAAAAAGAAAGAAAAAAGAAAAGCAATGAGGCTAATATTGATTGGACTGTAGTCATTTAACCCATCACAAACCCACCCAATTCTAACCGAGCTCCATCTTATAACTGGCTTTGTCAAATCCCTGGTCGAAAACCAGTAGTCAACAGACACTGCATTTTCTCCAACACCCTTTGACCCTGTCAAGGAAGAAAACAAAGCAGAGCTTAGCAAAGCAGCCCACGCTGATTGCTGGCATTCGCCACTTCCATGGGGCCTACTGTGTTCACAAAGAGAATTTATGGTTACAACATGCACATGAATATTAATTCACTTTCGCAGTAGAAGCAAAGAAATCTGGGAAACAGAATTCAAGAAAGGGGTTCAGCCTACTCGAAGTTAGGAGGATTCTCCAGTATCTATGACTAAGGGTCATAAGATGTTATAGTTTATTCTTAATATTTAGTTTGTTAGCATGGTTTCCTAGTATGCCTTCTCATGACTCATTATTTTAGGTCTTTTTAAGGACATCATAATCCTTTAAATACAAACATCAATACAATTTGATGGCATTCTTTATTTTGTGGACATTCATTATTCTTCAGATGGTTGAAATTTAAATGAGGCAGACAGAGATGGTTTACAAAGCCCCAGGCTGTAAATTGCACTAACCAGTGGATGACCTGTCAAGGCATGTGTTATGTGTTTGGGACTAGATCTTCAACTTCTTGGGGCAGTGAGACACGGTGAACAGAATATCAGCTTACCCCTCACCTCTGCTTTTTTGGGGAATTCTTGGATAGGAGATAAAATGAGAGGACATTATTTTTGAAAGCATCTATAGAGAGCCTCTCAGACAGTAGTTACCAAACTGAAGTGTGCATTTGAACCATCTGGGAAGCTTGTTAAAAATGTAGGTTCTCAGCCAGGCATGGTGGCTCATGCCTGTAATCCCAACACTTTGGGAACCGAGGTGGGTAGATCACTTGAGCTCGTGAGCTCGCGACCAGCCTGGGCAACATGGCAAAACCCCATCTCTACAAGAAATACAAAAATTAGCTGGCCATGGTGGTGTGTGGCTGTAGTCCCAGCTACTTGGGAGGCTGAGGTCCCAGCTACTTGGGCTGCTGTGTGCCTGTAGTCCCAGCTACTTGGGAGGATGGCTTGAGCCAGGGAGGCAGAGGTTGCGATGAGCCAAGATTGTGCCACTGCACTGCAGCCTGGGCAATAGAGCCAGACCTTATCTTAAAAAAAAAAAAAAGTAGGTTCTCAGACCACCACTCTCCCAAGATGGGCACCTGGAATTGTGAACACTTCTGGGCCTCACTGGTTCCTCCTTCAGTGTCAAATGAGGGGTTAGACTCAAGGTATTCTTGAACAGGAATCTGCGTGTTGACAGTCTCCCCAGCTGGTTACGAGCCCCTGGCGCTCTGCCCCACACTTGGAGAAACACTGAGTCTACTCTCAGTTCACACTGGGGAGGACGTGGAAGCCCAGAAATGCTCAATAATCTGCCGAGGTCACCCAGTGAGTGACCACAGCTCTGAGCTTCTGTTTCCTTCTGGGTAGAACAGGCCTGATGATGCTTTCCCCATTTACCGTCCAAGATTGTAATGAGGCTTAAACATACGTATGTGAAAACTGTCAGGTGCTCTGCGGATACAAAGGGGAGTGACTCTTTTTTTTTTTTTTTTTTTTTGAGACGGAGTCTCGCTCTGTTGCCCAGGCTGGAGTGCAGTGGCCGGATCTCAGCTCACTGCAAACTCTGCCTCCCGGGTTTACACCATTCTCCTGCCTCAGCCTCCCGAGTAGCTGGGACTACAGGCGCCCACCACATCACCCAGCTAGTTTTTTGTATTTTTTAGTAGAGACGGGGTTTCACTGTGTTAGCCAGGATGGTCTCGATCTCCTGACCTCGTGATTCGCCCGTCTTGGCCTCCCAAAGTGCTGGGATTACAGGCTTGAGCCACCGCGCCCGGCCCCAGGGGAGTGACTCTTAATGGCCACTAGGCCAGGTCTTGGGAGCCTAGGACCATGGAAGAGGAGAGAGGACACCACAACCTCCCACCAGCCCGTTCATTCCAGAACATCAAGGTGGTCCAGCATGAGGTGACCCCAGTCGTATTTGTGTATATGTCAGCCCCCACCCCAATGGGTCTTTCTCCCATGGCTGTCAATGGGAAGGTGGTGATCTTAGGGGCCCTCCTCTACAGTTGACTTGGGGGTGTCTGAGCCTCTGCAACTCACTTTTCTCTGCCCCCTTTTTTAGTGTGCTGGCTGGGACAATAGAGTGGGTTTCTCTTTGAGAAACTAGCAGGTAGATTTGGGGCAGTCACATCTACCTCCTTGACTTTATTATCAGAGCTCTTGCAATTATCATGCCCCTTGCTTACAAAACTCCTTCCTGCAGGTCTCCACGTGGCCCCCTTTCCACCTCCTTCAGGCCTTGGCTCAAATGTCCACTTTGCAGTGAGGTCTTCCTGGACTTCTAATCCACTGTTCACATTTTATTTTATTTATTTTATTTATTATTTATTTATTTATATTTTGTAGAGATGGGGTCTCAGTCTGTTGCTCAGAATGGAGTGCAGTGGCATGAACATAGCTCACTGCAGCCTCAACCTCCTGGGCTCAAGTGATTCTCTCACCTTGGCCTCGTGAGTAGCTGGCACTACAGTACACGCCCCCAGGCCTAGCTAGTTTTTTAAACTTATTTTTTTAGAGACTTGGTCTTGCTATGTTGCCCAGGCTGGTCTTGAACTTCTGGCCTCCAGCAATCCTCTCACCTCAGCCTCCTGAGTAGCTGAAATTACAGGTGTGAGTCACCATGCTCAGCTCTGATTTCTTTTTATCCATAGCATTCACCACCACCTGACCGAGTGGTATTTTACTTATCTTTTTTGTTCATTTATTGTCTCCCTCCCCACTCCACCACATAAGCTTCAAGAGGGCAGGGATCCAGTGAAATTTCTCAGCACCTACTCTAAGCCAGTCACAGCTTTAGGCACTGGGGAGCCGGAGATGAGCTGGGTGTGGAGTCCACCCTCCAGCAGCTGGCCATGCAGCAGAGGCATGCCCAGTGGGGCTCTGGGACTGTACAGGTAGGGGAAGCTGGTACCCGTTTAGAGGTGGCTGAGGCCCAGGCTGAGTTCAGGCGGGTAGGTGTGTTTCTATCCTGGCCTGTTCTCTGTCCTTCAGTGCCACTCTAAGGTACACTGCACTGGGCCAGGGCCCTGAACTAGGAAGCAGGTTGGGGCTGGGTGTGGCCCTCAGCTGACTTTCCATGGGACCTTGGACAGATCACTTCCTGGTGCAAGCTTCATTTTTCTTGTCTGTAAAAAGAAGAAAATCCTATCACCTACTGCAATTTGGGTTATTTTAATGGGAAAGCCTCTCAGGGGACTGCAAGCCCTTCCTCCTTCAAAGCGGGGCCAGATGAAAGGAAGACTTGTTCCGAGGCTCCTCTGACAGATCCGATAAAGCTCTCTGGCCTCGGCTGCACGTGGTCCCTGGGATGGTTCCCATTTTTATTGCTCTTGGCACAGAAGCACAGTGGAGCTTTGATGAGGAAAGAGGCCCTTTGCTTTGTCTCCTTGTGGCCTTTACCTGACAAAGGCAGCTTTCACTGCTCCCATTCTCCCCCGGCTTGCTTTGTGTTCCTAACCCCTGACCTGAAAGGCCTAGAGCCCTCCAAGGGCCTGGCCACGGCATGGCAGCGCTGAAGATCTAGATGGAGGAAAGCAAAGACGCAGATGCAGAGGCCTCTCTGTTCCCTGCACCGGGGTCCCTGCGGGTGACATGATCTCTCTTCGGCTTCCCTGTCCCAGAGGTCAGTTGCAGAGGCATATATCCCATTACTCGGCCTTGCAATCTATAACTTCTTTGTGCCTTGTGTCTTACAGAAATTTAAAGAATATGTGAATGGCAGTAACCTCATCACCAAGCTGCAGGCCAAGCACGATTTACTCAAGCAGACCCTGGGCGAAGGTGAGTGAGGTGGTGGAGGCCCCCTGGGAGGTGCTCTGTTCCCCACTGGGTTTCACTGTGTCCCCCTGATGTGTTGAGCTGCTTAATCTTGAGACAGCAGGCATCTGGCAGAATGAACCTGGACTGACCAGGACTGGGCAGGCTGGGAAAATCACCTTAGTACAGATGCCTTGGGGGTCCAATTTGGCTATGGAAAATAAAGGGCGTGACTTGCTTTTTGATGAATAGAAAGAAAAAGTAAATAAAAAAAGAAAAAGAAAATAGAGGGCAACCACAAGTCTTAGTTTAGGTTGGCAGGGACAGTCCAAGGCAAACTGATAGAGGGGCACCCATCAGGTAGGGAATGGGAATCCAGGGCCTCAGAGGCTGGCACTGACATTTTTCAGCAGACACTGTTTGCAAGGAATACTGCTGGAGTGTCTGGCCAGGGTTCTAGGTCCAGAGAAGGAAAATCCATACATGTAAGTCAGGGTTTGGCCCTTGAGGGACCTGATGACCAGGCGTAAAGCCACTCAATGCCTTCCAGTGGCAGTTGGAATAAAATGCCAGCTGCTGTCATGGCACATGAGGCCTTATAGCACTTAACTTCTGCCTGCTTCCCTGACCTCGTCGGTCATTCTCCCTTTCCTTACTATGCTGCAGCCACACTGAGCAAATTTCTGCCCTTCAGGACTCACCAAGCTTGTTCCTGCCCCAGGGTCTTTGCATCTGCATGGGTAACCACCACCCAAATCAGGGGATAGAGCTTTTCAATTACACTCAAAAATTCCCTTGCGCTCCTTTGCAGTCAACCCCCCATGCTCTACTCTGATCTGATTTCTGTCCCCCCAGATTCGTTTTGTGTGTTCTAGGTAGTAAGAGCGGGGAAACTTTGGGTGCTGATGGAAATAAATGTTCCATATCCTGATTTGAGTTACATGGGGATAGACATTTGTTAAAAACTCATTGACTAGGGGATAGGAGTGGGGAAGACTTAGTTGCAATGAGCTTTTTCTTCATTCTTTCCCTCTAAATTTTACCCATCCCGACATTTCAGTATCAGGCCGGGGATAAAGGGGGTGTGGAGGAGTGTGGGTACCAAAAAGGGAAGAAAAACAGTGAGAATGGAGGAGAAAGGGAGAAAGTCCAAGAGTGGAGCTCAAGGTGTGGGTGCCATGGGGGCAGCTTCTAAGACTAGCATTAAAGAGGAGGGCCGGCATTTATAGGCACAGGTCAGGGGGCTGTTCCTCATGAGCCAGGTAACAAAAGGTAGGACCATATGAGTTGGTGGCTACTTGCATTTTTGAAATTAGATGCTGAATTTGGAAAACTAATCTTCTTTTAAAAAATAAGATCCTGGGTCTGGTGCAGTGGACTGCCCACGCCTTCTTGGCGCAGAAGCACAGTGGAGCTTTAACGAATAAAGAGGCCCTTTGCTTTCTCTTCCCATCGCCCTTACCTGACAAAGGCAGCTTTCATTGCCGCCATTCCCAACTCAAATGATGATGATGATGATGATGATGATGATGATGATGACGGTCATCATCATTGTCATCATCATTATCACCATACTTAGTTTTGGTTGGCATAACTCCTGGTCCATTTGGTCCTCCAAGTTTATTTAGCCTTCAACTACGCCTTGCTCTAAGATTGCTCTACCAGTCCCTCTTCTGAGTTTTGAGCTGATTAGCAATAAAAAAAAAAAACTCCCGGAAAATGCGTTTTCAGAAGTAGAGGGGCAGCTAAGAAAAAGCCATCTGGAAGAATCTCTGTAATCTGTGTTTCAGTAAGCTGGCTGTGGAAGGGCTCACTGTGCTTCCTTTGACAACTGGATGGCTCTTGATAGACTGGTCAGTTCTAGAGAAGTTTTTTTTTTTTTTTTTTTTTTGAAGTAAATGTTCTATTTTAAAACAGTTTTAGAGCTACAGAAAAGTTGGGAAGATAGTATAAAGTTTTCATATACTCCATATCTAGTTTCATATACTCCACATCTAGTTAATGTTTATTAACATTTTACATTAGTATACTATATTTGTCAGCATTAATGAATACTGACACATGTTATTAACTGAAGTTAATAAATTACTGCATTACTGAAAAAGATGGAACCTGAATAAATCGAGACCAAATCTCCAGTCATTTTTATATAGCCACTACACGATAAAGATACATATAGATTCTCAGGGCACTGGGTGAAAGGGGAGAATTTGCACTGACCTAAATGATAAATTGGAAATTGCCCACTGGGTGAAGGAAGAAGAGAAAAAATTCAGCAGGCCAAAGAGAGCTCAGAATCTTAGCGAATTCATCCTTCTGAGTGTCAACTGGTGATTCACCTTTTCCTGAGCGTTTTGGTTCTTGTATTCAGTAGAATTCTCTTCTAAGAGTAGGGTAGTGTTACAGCTGCATCAGTGGCCTTTTTATGCCATATGAGGGCTATTTTGTAGTATCATGTCTAGTGCCTCAGTTTCTCTAAAGTACAGTAGCCCTCCTTTACGTGTGGTTTTGCTTTCCATGGTTTCAGTTGCTTGTGGTTATCTGTAGCCTGAAAATATGAAATGGAAAATTCCCAAAATAAACAATTCATAAGTTTTAAATTTCTCGCTGTTCTGAGTAGCATGATGAAATCTTATGCCGTCGTGCTCCATCTTTGCCAGGATGTGACTCCTCCCTCTGTCCTGCATATCCACTCTGGATACAGTACCCGCCCACTGGCCACTTAGTAGCTGCCTTGGTTATCAGATTGAAAAAACAGAGGACATGTGGGATTTGGTACTATCCACAGTTTCAGACATCCACTGGGGGTCTTGGAACATACTCCCCACAGATAAGTGGGGACTGCTGTACTCTTTTGACAGGATAGCTCAAGGAAACTACAAGTTAGATGAAACCCAAGGTCTTTGGGGTCCGCTTTACTTAGAAGCAGATTTGAGAACATGATTGACCCCAGACATACAAGTCAAAAAGCTTCCAGGTGCTTGGCAAATGGCATTCCCTGTTAACAAAGGATGTCACTGGCGCTTCTTGGGAGCAAGAACACACACCTTGGCTGTCGCTATGCCATTTTATTGGCCAGAGAATTCTCAGTTTATCATCATCTCTGAGTCTTAGACTTATGACCTTTTTATTGCTCTGGAGTGTATTCTGTAAGCTCCAGGGTTTACACTCAAGATGCAGTTGGTTTTTCAATTTCTGAAAGCGCCTCAAGCATGAATGAACAGTGTGCTGCCTATAAAAGGGAAGGAGCATAACCTTTTCAGGCCAAGATTTAATCACCCATCACAGAGCAAAATGGCCACCAGGCCCAGGCCATCTGACTTTCTAGAAAATGACTGAACCATCAACTATAAAATATATTTTTAAAATCCCAACAGGTTTCAGAAGGTAAAGGATGGGCATTTTTTGATTCCCCACATTTATGAGATATTGAGCCACCCTATTTCTAAAGATGTTGGTTGTGGGATTCTTGAGAGCAGGAATGTGAGTCTGAAGCTGATAGACAATGTATTAGATTCTGTGCCAGAGAAAAGTCTGCCTTGAGTATGTTCTGACATTCCACTCCACATCCTAAAACCTTTGATTTCTACCTGCCCCTGTCTGTTCATTCATCTATCCAAGAGCACAGGCATTTTGTTTGGCCAGGCCTGGGGAGATAGTGGTACACAAGAAAGGTAAGGTTCCTGCCCTCATGGAAAAGAGAGACCTCAAATGGTAAACAAACTACTAAGAAAGTGTGATAGTTGAGCTGGGTGTGGTGATGGCCCTGTAGTCCCAGCTACTCAGGAGGCTGAGGCAGGAGAATCACTTGAGGCTAGGCAGTGGAGGCTGCAGTGAGCCAAGATCACGCCACTGCATTCCAGCCTGGGTGACAGAGCAAGTCTCTGTCTCTTAAAAAACAGAGAGGGTGGGGATTATAATTGTGTTAAGTGCCATGAATGAAAATTTTGGGCTGAGATACAGAACAATCATGTATGTGTCGGGGAGAGATGGGGGGACCTGCTTTAGATAGGGTGATCAGAGAGGGTTCCTAGGGGAGTTGCTGTTTCAGCTGAAACTAAAGGATGAGAAGGTGTCAGCCAAGTGAAAAACCAAGGGAAGAGTTTCTGGGGAAGAGGGGACAACATTTGCAAATGCGGGAAATGTGGTGAGTTGGAAGAATTGAGAGAAGGGTATTGTAACTAGACCATGTGGAGTACATAGAAGAGTGGACAGTTTGGGAACCCAGAGAAGGAGGGATCTTTTCCTGGGGATGGAAATGTTTTCAAATTGAATTCTGGTGAGGGTTGCATAACTTTGAATAGTCACTAAAAATCGCTGATTGATACACTCCAAATGGGTGAATTTTATGATATATAAATTATACCTCAATTATGCTATTTTTATAAAAGATGGCAGTGCATCTGAGTTTGGAATTCTAGGGAAGGGTAAGATCTAGACATAGAGTATGGAGTCCTCGGTAAGCACTTGCGGTCACTTAGAAAGGATGTGTAGAAAAGGAAAGCAGCCCTGGGTCTGTGTCCTGATGGCACTCCAACATTTCGAGGTTTGAGGTTGGGCAGAATGAGGAGGAGACAGAAAGAGAAACTGAGGAACCTATAGGGCAGGAAGAACACCTGGAAAGTGTGGAGTCATGAAAGTGAAGAGGAGAGAGCTTTGTAAGAAGGGAGTGGTGAACTGAGTAGAATGGTGCAGAGGTCAGTTACAATAAGGGCAGAGAAGACCATTGGATTCAGCCTGAAGGAGATCCTTTTTGACCTTAAGTGTTGACCTTGACAAGAGCAGTCTCAGCCCGGGGATGAGGACAGAAGCCTAGCTTCTAGGCAAAAGGGCGAGGAGGGAATAGGAGGGGAGGAAGCAGTAGTGCCTCCAGGCAGCTCCTTCAGGGAATTTTGCTGTAAACAAGAGCAGAGAAATGAGGATGTAGCTGGAAAGAGAAATGGGGTCAACAGAAGGGTTAAAAGCTAGGTTGTGCATATCCAGAACATGTAGATATGCTGCTGGAAATGGTCCAGAAGAGAGGAGATTGGTGATGCTAGGGAGAGGGGAGATACCTGCAGAAACTGAGGCCCCCAGAAGGGCAGAGGGGGTGGAACTAGGGCATAAGGAGAAGGTCTGGGCTTTGTCTGGCAAGTAGGTGGGAGGGCCTAATGGGGGCACACAGATGGAGAACCCATATTACTTGATTTTCTTTTCCAGTGAAGGAAATGAGAAGATCTTCAGCTGGGAATGAAGGTGGAGGCAGGGCAGCAGGGTGGAGGAGCACCAGCCTTATGGCTGGTATCCTTCAGTGCCAGGCGTATGACAGGGGCTCAGTCAGTCTTTGTTGCCATTAAACATTGCAGGAGTTTTCGAACTTTGGGAGGCATAGAAGTGATCACCAGGGGTGGTTGTTAAAATGCAGATTTCTGGGTTTTTATCTCAGAGATTCTGATTCAGAAGACCCATGAGAGAGTCAAGAAATCTGCACCTTTAACCAGATCCCCAGATGTTTCTGATGCAAGTAGCCAGAGGGCTGTAGTTTGAGAATCACTGAAAATGTCTGTGAACAATAACGTGTGTGTGAACACAGCCCTACAAATAGGAGGCTTTTAATAAAGAATTAATAAGACGCAGTTCTTTTCAACAGACCGTACCTTAGGCATAATTAGATTTCATATTTCATAAATAATTAAGACTCGTTGTGTGTTGTTTTTAGAAAAAGACGAAAGTTCTTTGGTTTAAAAAGAAAAGGCAATTAAACATTAATGTATACTTTTCTTTGCAGGGGAAAGAGCAGAATGCGGCACCACCAGGTGAGAGTGGGAGAGTCGTGTTTTCTTTCATCTGCTGCCCGAGGTGGGAGTGGGATGGGGCTGGGGAGGCCCTGCTGGGAGCTGGAGAAGCAGGGATGGCTTCTTCACCAATGTCCCCATGGGCTGGTGTGGGTGTGCCTAGGTGAGGCACAGTTGCTGCTTCGCTTCTTCTAGCATTAGACTGACAAAGCCACGCCCCTCCAGGCTGGCAATGGAAGGGGCGCTTTGGGGGCTGCTGTGTGGCAGTGGGGCACCCTCCCTTTGCGCTGGCCATCGGGTGAGACAGTATTGTCTACTCAGAGTGGCTGAGGGCAGCCTGTAGGAGCCAGAGGCTGTGGGGTGGCTGTTGACCTCTCTTCCCACTTGCTACACCATGCTGAGCAAACTGCCCAGCCTTGCTGCGAGGACCGGCCTGGGGTCCCCATGTACCAAGGCTTTGGGTCAGGCTGAGATTGCGCGCAGCTGAGCACACGCATGCGCATAGATGTGCACAGACTCCCCCGCTGTCCACACCCTGGCTTGGACCTCACGGGCACTTGGATGGGCTGACAGAAAGTAACACATGGGCAACTTCTGCTTTCTCTTCAGCTCGTTCAACATTCCCTTTTGCGCTTTTCCCTGAGCAGACCAGAGCCAGTGAACACTTTCCACTCAGCAGCTGATAGCTGAGGGGCTGACTTTACTCCCCTTTCAGAAAGCTTAGATCCATAAGTGGCTCTGTCACTGGCCAGGTTGTTTGCTTAGAGCCTATTTCATTTCTGCGTTCCCAGTAAGAGATATTGCACTGCCTAGCTGGAATTCAGCCAGTGGCCCAGAGGCCTGCACTTTTCCATCACATGGCAGTAGAGCGCTACTTTTTGCCTCACTTTCTGGGCCCGGGGACCTGAGGGCATTCTTTTCTTTCCCACAAATGCTTCCCAGTGGCCCCAAATCCTGAGAAACCGTCATGTTTGGCAAGAGCAAAGATGAACTCCCAACTCTCTCCTGCTCCTTGGGAAGGGAGTGGGGCAAAGTCTTGGAAAAGTCTAGGGTTTTCAGTTTCCTGGGCTCAGGATGGGGAGACCGAGGGCTCGACAGAAGTTCAGCCCGTACAGCTGTTCCTCTGGGCTCTGGCAATTTGGAAGCATCAGGACGAGTCACACCAGGCGAGGCCCTTCCAGCACATGGGGCGGCAGATGTGCAGGGTCACTTTCGAAGAACCTGTTACAAACCTATTATAATTTTTTTTGTTTTCCTGGCAAGAGAATGTTGTCATAGTCTCAAAACAACAGAAGCCAAATTTTACACCAAATTCTGCAAATAGTGAAACAGATGGGGGATGAATTGAGCTGTCCCTCACTTCCTCCTAATTCCTAGAACTCATGCAGAGAAGTTTGTTCCAGCAGAGTGTGGGAGAGGAGATCTGTAATCAAACCCTTGGCCAGGTCTCAGGGTCCTCCCTCAGCGGAAAGTTGAGGGTTTGTTTTTTTTTTGTTTTGTGTTTTAAATAAAGCCCTCTGAAGTCTTCCACACCCTCCTTGACCTAGGGCCTGGGAAATCCAAGCTGAGTTGATCAGACCTCCCACTTAGACACCCTGCATTCAACTGCAGCTACCCTGCATTCAATTGCAGACTTAGCCCTGTGTACTCTGGTTCCTGGTCAAGGTCAAAGTAAACTAAAGTCTTTGTTAGTAAACCAAAAGTCTTCCCTTACCTCCAAAATCATTGTGGAAATTGTGGAAATTGTTGCCAACAATGTCTCTGTCCTATGGCCCTCTCTCTATCTTCCACGGACTCCCACGCGAGGTGGATATCATTTTTGGATGGTTATTTGAGCACGATCTCCTCAGCCAAGTTGCTGTTGACCTTGTATAGAGGAACTGGTTTTGCACATGGGCTACAGTATGTTATATTTTTCTCACACTTCAGAACCTTATCTTAGAATAGACCAAATTTGTAAAAACCCTGTAATTCAGGATGGCCAGATGTGATAATGCACTTAAATTTAAAAGTGTATTGTAAATGTCGAAGCAAGATGCAAATATAAGGTTTGATTATTGTGATTCAAATGAACGTCTGGCTCCCCTTACCCACGTTGACATGCCCTCGTGGTCTGGATTAGAGATGAAATCACTCGAGATCTTGTTCAAGCAGATGCAACACAGTACACAGCCCATGCATAGCCTCCAAGGGCCCGACTGGCATTGCACTACAGCATTGCCACCATTTGGGATGTTGACCTCCAAGTCCATTAGGTTATCTAGGGGAATTTTTCATCACATCCCTTTAGTTGCAGGATAATTTTGAGGCAATTTCCTGTGTTGCCAACGTGTGTTAATTTTCATCTTGATTAAAAGGCAGAAAGGGGACATTGGTCTCTGGTTTCTCTTTCTTCCTCTCTGTGGCTTTCTCTGTTCCTGTTTTCCCTGCCTCTCTTTCTTTCTTTCTTTCCTTTTTGCTCTGCATCTGAGCAGCAGAAGAGATGGAAGGCTTAGGCTGCCCCACTTTCCTTGGCCGGGCTGCCCCCCTGCTCCCCACTTTGTGCCCCACCCAGCACTTCAGTAAGTCAATATAGATTTGATATTGTGCAAAGTTGGGATAGCTACGTTTCCTTGTCAGAGATTCCAGACAGTGCACAGAACACCACACAAAGAAAGAAATCCCCGTGTGATTCACGCAGTCCTTTGCTTTCTGGATTGGGCAGGAAAAATGGGAAAACATATCTTATTTTCCCTTTATTCCACTTTGTAAAATTTAAGAAAAAACAAAAAACACTTAGGACTTTCTTTTAAGGAAACCCTCCAATTGGGCACCGTAGGTTTTTTGATATTGAGTGTCCAACACCTGCTTTAAGAGTCTGCTCTTCCTGGCCATGAGAATTTAACAGATAATTTAATGTTACTTCTGGATGTTCTATGATATGTTCTATGATACGATCACTTTCATACTCACACTAGAGCCTTGAGAGTAGGAAGAGCTGAATTTTACCACCAACCTCAATCACATTTTATTTGTGTGGTCTTAGGCAAGTTTCTTCATCTTTTGTGGGCTCATTGACCTTGTATGTAAAGTGAATTGATATTTTTTCCCAACCTCACAGGGTTGTTGTGAGATTATCATGCAATGTGATAAGGAAATGATCTGGGAATGTTCAAAAACAAACCAAACACTATGAAAACAGGGTGACAGTGTTGCTATCATCAAGTTATTTCTAATCCCCAAACTTAAAACCTTTGGCCTTGTGTCACATTTTTGACACTCTCTTTTACCTTTGGTATTTGAAAATTTAAGAGCAGATCTTGTAAGAAATCCCACCCCCACATACATACGTCCTCAAAAAAATAAGTAATTTTTGAAAAAGAAATGACATGGACTTAGCTAACCAAATTGACATAGATCCAAGATGGGCTTGAAATAATCTTGCCTGTTGTTTCTTTTCAAAATTTTGATCTGTGCTGTTATTTTGTTTCCGTTGTTTGGGTGGCATGATATTTGGATTCACCTGGTTTTTGCCCATGCATGTACTGGAGCTAGCAGCATTTGCTCAATACTCAAACACCTAGGAGAAGTTGGTTAGAGGTCCCTGGGGATGGCTGTCCTACTGAAGGAGACAGGTACAACAAGCCCAGTCAGCAGAGGCAGCATGAATCTCATTTATCCTGATTGGCTGCATAGTCCAGAAGATTTCTTGCCCACTCACAGAAATCAATGAAGACTTGGGGGACCAGGTCTTTGCTTGTCATGTGTGGACATTATCTGTGCCTGGCTGAGTCCCCACTTGTTGCTACTCAAATTTCGAACCAAGCCATTTGAAAATGAACTGCCTCTCTTGGTTAGGGGCCCTCTTCCTAACCTGAAAAAGCCCTTTGCCCCAGAAGGCTGGCACCATTGAGTCAGGCCAACTTGTGTGGTGAAATGAGCAAATAAGCCAACACAGGTATATGCATGGTGAGCAATTCTGGAAACAGGTCCAGTGTTTGTGGCTGTTTCACTGGTGAACTGTGGTATGGTTACCCCTCCCTGTGGCCAAGAGTGGAGCATACTTTAGGAACGGAAATCCTAAAGTAAAGCAAGACACTTTCAACCTGATCCCATGGCAAAGGTTACTGGGGTAGATGAGTCCTTGGTTGGAAATAAAAAAGTGCCCTAAGGCTCCATGATGGTGGTCTGGTAGGAAAAACCCTGAACTTGGAACCAAAGAGTCCAGAGTTTGGGGTCCAGCTCTGTCAGTTCTCCTTCACAGGAGGCTTCACTTTCTGCCTCTGTAAAATGGAGCCACATATACAGGGTTGAGGTGGCATTAAGTTTAATAATGGATTTGAAAGTGGTTTAATTGAAAATGTTCTTGAGGCTAGGTACAGAGGCTCATGCCTGTAATCCCAGCACTTTGGGAGGCCAAGGTGGGCAGATCATGAGGTCAGGAGTTCAAGACCAGCCTGGCCAACATGGTGAAACCCTGTCTCTACTAAAGATACAAAAATTAGCTGGGAGTGGTGGTGCATGCCCATAATCCCAGCTACTTGGGAGACTGAGGCAGGAGAATCGCTTGAACCTGTGAGGCAGAGGTTGCAGTGAGCTGAGATCATGCCATTGCACCCTAGCCTGGGTGACAAGGCAAGACTCTGTCTCGAAGAAAAAGAAAAAAAAGAAAGTGTACTTGACTAAAGAACAGGATATTACCATCATCCTGGGGTCACCCAGGGACCCCAAAGAAGTTGCAGCCTCCCTCATGGTATCAGTTTCTTCATCTCTGAAATGAGAATAGTAATTGCCTGGCTCTTAGATCAATGAAATAAAGATTAGTCAAGTGCATTTGAAATGCCAAGAGGCATTAGGAAGATCAGTGCCCTGGTACATTGGGAGTTGAGACTTGGTGATAAATTTAAGCCAAAATAATGAAAATTAACCCTCACAATCATTTTTGAAAGTCTCTTGCTTTCTCAGGCTACAGATTACATCTCTCTCCCCTGATTCCCCCTCCATCTGGTCAGCTTTGCAGGATGGCAGCCTCTGATTGGAGTTTCAATGGTTTCTTGCACATGTCCTATTTTCCCCCTAAGATTTAGAATGCATTTGCGTCATGTAAGAGTTGCTCCTGCTTGGCATTGTGGGTAAATTAAGATCTCCTAAAACATGCAAAGGCCTTCAGATGGAACATTGGAAACCAATGTCTTGGCGGGGGGTCAGGGGCTTCCATTTACATTTTGTGTCCCCTTTAGTTGTGGGTTTTAAGAGCATCTTTCCCAGTTGTATGTTTATGTTGGTTGCTTTCTTGATTTCTTTTGTTCCGTTTTCCCCTAGGCCCCCCTGTCTTCCCCCTAAACCACAGAAAATGAGGAGACCTAGGCCTCTCTCAGTGTATAGCCATAAACTCTTTAACGGCAGTATGGAAGCATTCATTAAGGTACTTGCTGGGGAGCCATGGAGTCCGCGAATGCACCCAATGTAATGGCAGCCTCTGTCCTCCCGCCTCCCTGCCAGCAGACAGCCCTGTCCTTGGCCAGGCCCTGTGGAGCTAGTTCCTCGCTGCAGCCTCTCTTAGCTTCAGCAAGGGCTTTTCACGGGAGCTGCTGTAGCCTCTAACTGGTTGCTCCTAAGTGCCCTGCACAATTCTCAGCCCTGGGGGGTAGGGATCAGATCATGACAGAACCCAGGGAAGTCCAAGTGGGGCTGAAATACCAGCGCAGCGGGCCCAGCCAGCCACGCTTCATTGCTTCAGCAACTGCAGTCCTAACACCTGAGGGACAGTCAGAGAAACCCCATTCCCTCACTTCACACCCACGTCTTCCAGGAGAAGCTGGATTGAAAGCAACACAGAGGAAATCCCTGTGGGTATCAGTGTGTTTTTATACACGTGAATTTTTTTTTAGTTGCATATATACCAGCAAAGGAAACACATACACTTTTTATAAGAGAAAATCCTCCCACCTAGTTTGCTTCCCATTAGGTGGTTTGGGAGAAGGGAGAAAAGTTGAGGTTGTCCCTTTTGAATTCTAGGTTAACCCTTTGTACCTTAAACTAAGTAGTTTAGCTAGGAGAGTTTCTCTTTTCTTTTCTCTTTGGTGTAAAGGATATGAGATTAAGTCATATCAGATATAATGACTCAAGGGAAATTAAGAAGATGATGGAGAAGCGAAGAGCAGCAGCTGGGGAGATACTTGAGGAAGGGGAGAAGCACTCTTAACATTACTTAGAGGAAGCAGGGAAGTCCCTGCAACTGATTTGAGAGCCCACTACCTTCTAATGAAGACACTCTCTGCAGAGAAGATGATAGGTATCAATCAGGAGAAAAAGCAAAGGCCCTTGGGCTTTGCCAATGATTTGGGGGTTATGGAGGCTGCCCGTGCTCTGGCTCTCTACTAGTGATCCTCAGACAGGGTCCAGCACAAGACTTGCAGGACAGCAAGAGACTGGACATGGGTTTGGCCTTAGGCAGGAGAGAGGGTAAGCAGGACCAGCCCGGGTCTCAGGACTGTCTCTCCCTGTGGGCTGAGTTCTGGGGAAGGGAGAGTAGGGAAAAGGGAAAGTGGAAGACCAGGGCCCAAGTTGGGACTGCCCGGGGTGAGGGATGTCAAGGGCTGCTGTAGGATGCCTAAGAAGACCAAAGCGTAGAGGATTCCCAAAAGGAGGGGCCCATGGGTGTATCAGGAAGGAAGATCAGGAGGTGACCCAGAGGGAGTGGTTTATTGGGTCATGGGAGGGCGGGGCTGTGCCAAAGGAATCTTCTGTCTCCATCCTTCCTCCTCTCTCCTCCGAGACTTTCTTCTTTCACCTTGCCCATAAAAGAGCCATGGTCCATGGCCGAGAGGGGACTAGTTACTCTCCCTTCCCTCAAGGAGCCAGTAGTGGAGCTTGGGAAATTTTAAACACAAAAGGCAGAAAGTGGAAGGTGATTTAGGATGAGCAACTGGTGAGTTATCCCTGCATAAACAAGTTTAGGATAGGTGCAGTGGCTCACACTTGTAATCCTAGAACTTTGGGAGGCTGAGGTAGGAGGACAGCTTGAGCCTGGGAGGTCAAGGCTGCAGTGAGCTACAGTTGTGCCACCACACTGCAGCCTCAGTGACAGAGCAAGACCCTGTCTCGAAAATAAACAACAACAAAAGAAGAATTGAGAGCAAAAAGAGCTATGAGCTCAAGCACAGTAGGCTTCTGGAGGGGCTTTGAAGGAAAGGTGGGCATGCAGAGGAGAATAAAAGGACAGAAGAAATTATTGAAAGGAAGGACAGAAGAAATGAAGACTCAGAGACAGGGACATCCTCAGTGTGCTTAGGTCTTTGGAAATGGGTGATCAGTCAGGATACTTGGAAGGAATCAACTCTTATCTGACAGTATTTGACAAGCTGATGTTCCGTTGAGTTAAGTGTTTTTGTAATAGAGAGGTCCTATATGTAAGATGTGACTATAAAGTAATCTGACTTTATTTCTTCTGACCAACACATCATAACCTAGTCAACCACATGAGTGTTTGCCCCTTTGAGGCAGTCATCTTGGGAAGCCACCTTCTTTCCTGAATGTGTCGGCATTGCTGCAGCTGCTTTGGTCAGTCTTCTTTAGAGCCTGGAGTATGGCCTTTACCAGTGGGGCCAGGACTATGTATTCAAATGGACACCTTGTCTTTGGAATAGAAAGCTCTGTTTGAAGCTGAGCTTTGCGATGCCATTGGAGGTGCAAAATGGCAAGAGGAATATGCTACAGTGGGGCTGTTCCACTGGCTCTGAAAAGAACACCCCAGCAGCGACAGCCCAGAGCACTTGAGCAGTGGCAGCACTGTTGGAATAAGTGCATCACTTCCTAAGCGGAAAAGTTGGAGGAACAATACTCATTTGACTGGGAAAAAAGGTGTGTTTGTTAAATACTATTTCATTCATTCATTCATTCATTCATTCATTCATTTATTCATTCATTCATTTATTTATTGAGGCAGTCTCGCTGTGTCGCCCAGGCTGGAGTACAGTGGTACAATCATGGCTTACTGCAGCCTTGACCTCTTGGGCTCAAGTGATCCTCCCACCTCAACCTCCCGAGTAGCTGGGGCTACACGCATGCACCACCATGCTTGGCTAATTAAAACAATTTTTTTTTTTGTAGAGACAGGATCTTACTATGTTGCCCAGGCTTGTCTTGAACTCCTGGGCCCAAGGGATCCTTCTGGCTTGGCCTCCCAAAGTTCTGGGATTACAGGCATGTGCCCCTGCACCTGGCCTTACTATTGCATTGCTTTATAGTCACACTGTACTCATCACATACCATCAGTGCAGTTCAACAAACTCATACTCTGCACCTACTATGAGCTAAGTGGATGATGTTTTACAGCACAGTTTGCTGTGAAAGGTTATTAAGTTTCAGAGAATGAAAAGGCAGTATAATGTATTCAATCCTTCAACTATTGAGAATGGATTTTAATTTTCTATTATAATCCACATGCCGTCTGAAAGAACATTGAACTAAGAGTCCCCAGCTTTGAAAAACCACACCTGTGAAAAGGTTTTTAATAAAATAACATCACTGGGACATCACAATTATAATGGCTTAGAGGGACAAGGAAGCATCCCTGGGGTTAGTAATCATAAGTAAATGTTGCTGGAGTTTGATTTATACATTTCTCAGATCCTACCTGAATAAACAAAAGCCTTTCAAAATCCTTGATGTTTTTTCCTCCTCCTCTCAGACAAAAGGAGAACTCATTTTTGTAAGAGCCAGTTTTGAAGCCTAGGAGGTTCACCTCCGGGACAAGGGGAGAATCCTCATCTTGTTTCTGTAAAATAAGCATGATAATTACCTACTTCATGATCCTTTGTGAGGAGGATTAAATGAGCCAATATATGTTATGTTTCTAGAGCACTGGATGGCACATGGTAAGCACTATGTATTACCTACGATTATTAGCATTAATTTTAGCATATTGCTCATAGAACCTGTTCGACCAGGCTGTTTACTCAGTTCTGGGATTCTGGTAGATTTAGTCAGCATGTCAGGTAGCAGACAGTTCCAGTTGTTGAGATGCTGAGAACTGGACAGACGACACTAACTAGAAAGCACACATCCTCCAGGAGCCTGGATGGGACAAGTGCTCACCCCAGAGACAGACCTGCTGCACAGTGGAAAGAGCTGACGGCACTCCCCTGAAAATGGGCATTATCAGTGGCTTTTAGTGAAAGTAAAGGCTTCCGTTCTCCCCCAAGCTCATGAAGGCATTCTGACTCAACTTCCCTTCCTCCTCCAGGCCTTTCTCAGCTTTTGTATTCCTTAGTGCCAGTGTAAGGGTCAAGAGGGGAGGAAGGAGAGCAAAGTCAAGTGGATACCCAAGAAAAGCAACTGAGGGTGTATGGCAGGGAAACATGGGAAGCTGTTTGGAATTTGGCATCAGGTGGAATCCTATGGGTCTCTATCCAAAGGGTACCTTGTAGACATGATCTCGTTAGAATTGAACTTTTTACCAACAATGAGGTTTCTTGAGCTGAATTCCAGGACATTGTTCCAGTAGACATAAAGGTGTATTTCTGTCCTTTTTGTGGGCAGCTGGACATACCTTATGGGGTCGTAGGTAGGCTTTTGTCCATGCGTGCATAAACAGTCCCTTTTGTTGAAGAGAAGCTAGGTACAGGGACGGGAATGGGTCCAGTCCACACAGTTGCTGCTCTTTCACAAGGACTGAAAGAGGCCCCCGTGTCAACTGGTGTCTGGGAGGGCAGCTAAGGCAGCCACATGGGAGGGCTGGCTGGGCGGCTTCCAGAAGTCCCATAAGGCTCCCAGGCTCGGGGGTGACCCTCCCCACAGGCCGGCTGTTTGACAGGCTCCCCAGGACCTTGGCTGGCTGCCATTGCATTTCGGCGTTCACGGACTCTGAAGGATCTGCTTACTCTAACTGATCTTATTCCTGCATAATCTTTTCTTTTTCTCCTGCTCTGCTGCCTGTTTATTTTTTGTTATCAGAGGAAGAAGAAATGCTCGAACCAGGAACCAGGTATTTACTAGAAAGGCCCGTTAGCCCCATTCACCGCGATGGAAACTATCTTTAGTGCTGACTTCCAGAACAGAGCCCACCTTGCCTGTTGCTGATGGGTCCATATTCTTGTCCTGTCCCTGGGCACAGTCAATCGAGGAAAGAATTCACAGGTGGGGTGTGGAGGAGCCAAGAACGTATCCAAATCCATGCTGTCTTCACAAGAGCATATTACATGTGCCTCATTGTTTACTCACCTTGTGAGAAGGCTAGGCCTTTGATTTGGCCCCTTTTAAAGAAAGTTTAAAAGAATTTGATGCTCTTTAAGGGACCTGGAATACAGAGAGGTCAACCAATAATGAAATCCAAAAGAAAATGTCTCCCCTCACCATAATCATTTGTGGCTGTAGACCAGTCTAGGAAGATGTCATTGAAAATACATTCACATCCCAGGTGCCTGTGTTGAGAATTGCATCTTTTTCAGCCTTTTAGAGTAAGGTTGGCCCCTAGCTCGCCAATGGCTGACATCGGCTGCCTCTAGAGCTTTTCCCTGTGACATACTTATTGTTAAATGCAGTATGCATCTGAGTGTTTAGTTGTGACTTCATGAGTAGAACTGGTCTTCCCTTCTTAGAGCTCAAAATTTCCACTGGGGGCCAGCCTTGCTTCTCCCGTGGTGTGCCCTTAATTCTGACATCAGGTAAATAGGATGAGGACTTGGTCCTTGAGCATTGAGAAAATAGTGTTGAGTTGGGACAAAGTGGAGGGGGAGGCAGAGAACTCTTCAAGGCCAAACTCCAGCAGCCTCCATGAGGTGGTTCCCTCTCCATTGCCCAAGTGGGCCTGCCAGGCCTCCTGAGCCCAGATTCCTTTCCAGTTGGATAAGAAGACAGAGCATTTCTTTAAAATGATCGTAGCTATGCCTTTTTGTGCACACAGCTGAAGACTCTCTGTTGTAACTGTCTGTGGAGACTTTAGGATTAGCAGTTCCTTGCTTGTTTTCCTACTAATCTGATGGTACTAATATTCTGGCTTGAGTCTGTAATCTGTGTTTGCAATGTCTTTTTCCTGTGGTGGTTGTCAAGTCCCATAAAACTCACGATTTTTCTTTTCTCAAGGATTCAGGACAAGCTATACCACTTGTAGTCGAGAGCTGCATCCGTTACATCAATTTATATGGTAAGCTGGATCTTGGGCCAGTGTTTTCAGCAATATGCAGAACAGGTGCTAGGCTGTTCTGATAGGAAATGAGATTCTAATTTGTCCTGGAAGATCTCCCGTCACAGCTCTGCTTTTGAGGGGGAAAGTACTACACACAGCAGCTGCTCTTCCGAGTGCTGCTTTTGAGTGTGTTGGGGGATGGAGATCATGGTGAGAGGATCCAAGAACTAGGAAAACCGGAGAGTAGAAAGGGCATGGACAAGAGAACTCAAACCTGCAGCTCTGTGCTTTGAGCACCGAATGGAGTTTGCCAGTAAATCAGCTAATACTACCAGATTATAAGCTCCATGAAGGTGTTAGGTTAATGCCAACATAATTGCGGCTTTTGCCATTACTTTTGAATGGGAAAAATCGCAATTACTTTTGCATCAACCTAATGATGGTGTCTGGGATTTGTTAATTTAACCTCTCCCAAGTCCCAGCCAGAATGTACTCTAGAGTCTAGCTCTTCTTGAAGGCAGAACATGTCTGTGTACAGGGAAGGAAAGGTATTGATACAAAACTTCTTGTGGCCTTTTCCTTTAAGCTCAAACAGAAGATCACAGATGATGAAGCAGATGTGTCCCAGGATTTTGGCCAGCTGTACTTCACCGTGCAGGCCATTTTTGGAGACGTTCATAGGGAATGACTCTGTTACAAAGAATCGGGGGAAGAAAGGGACAAGCAATGGGCAGAGTCACTGGTATTCCCAGTGGTTTAATGAACTCAAAGTCTCATGGATTTACTACTTCTTTTTCTGTATGTTTCTTTTTTAGGACTCCAGCAGCAGGGGATCTTCAGAGTGCCAGGATCTCAGGTGGAAGTCAATGACATCAAAAATTCCTTTGAGAGAGGTGGGTGCAGAGTGACCATCTTAAGCTTGTGTGTTAAGCTTGTGGCCAGGGGAAGCCAGGGTGAATGTTCACATATGTCTCGGAGCCAGTGGTATGCAGAAGCTGGCCTGCAGTGGGTTGCAGGAGCTGATTGTGCACATCCCTTTCCAACTTCACAGTCAGTGACTTTGTCCTGGTACTTGGAATAAGCATGACTGGAATGTTTACACCACAGAAATTGGCAAAAACTAAGTTCTAATTGTTTCCTGCCAAAGAGCTAACTGTTTAACATTTACCTACCACCAGCACCAGCACCAGCATCAGCACCAGCACCGCTACCAGTACTACAATTACTGCTACTACTGCTATTACTACTATTACTGCTTATGGGTGACTCTCTCCAGTGGGCTGCACAGTGGTTGCTGGGAAAGGGTGCCTTGTAAAGAGCTCTGGAATATTTACGTGAATCTGTAAAGGATGCTACATTTTAGAATTGGAAGAACATAGAAAACACTGAGTGACTTTTAGAATATCCTAATTTTTAATTTTTTATGCGGTGTTTTTGGCAAGCCACACATTGGGAGGAAGAGATTATATACTCCCTCTACCCCTGGAGAGGTGACCTAGTTCCCATTTTGATTTAAGCAAGGATATGAAAGCTTATTACAAGTGAGGTAGACCACTAGACCAGGACACATGTGATGTATTTGGTGTAGCCTCTCTGGGCTTCAGAATCCCTGATAGGAACAGATGGCCAGTGACAGTGTCCAAGCCAAGTAAGGACTCACTGGGTCAGGAAATGCTCAATTCTTCTTACACCTCTGCCTTTGAATATTTAGTGCTTATCTCACTGCTACACTGAAATGGAAAATCCATGCATTTTCATTTGAGGAAATATTTTCAATCCTGCTCCCTGATTCTAGAACAAAACCTAGCATTAGCAAGTCCATAACCTCATCCCAGGGGAGGAAAGAAGAGTTGGAATATCGATATTCCACATAATATATCTGCCTGCAGTTTTCTAGTATTTGAAAAGGTCATGTCTCCACAGTCCACCCCTTCTCAACTCTGATTTACTGCCTTCTCTGAGTGGTTCTGGCACTGAGGACCCCAATCCCATACCCCTTTACTAGCAGTATATCACATCCCAAAAGGTATGGTTTACCCCTGTTGGCTGTGCTCTGAGCAGGCCTCTCTGTGTGCTTCCACCCATAGAATTCTTCCTATTTATTACCTAGCTCCCCTCCCACCCCAAAGGAGCTGTCTTTTGAACAAATTCTCTGTCTCCCAGTCATCTCCATTCCATCTTGTGGTGGAGGAAGCATTCTGCAGCCCCAAGCAGTACTGCTATGGCCCCCAGGCACAGACCCTCTGTGGATGTAGGCACTCTGGCTTGGAACCATCTGGAGACAATGAGATTTGTCTGCATGTCATGCTCAGTGGCCTTCTAGGGTCTAGGGGAGCTTCGTTTCTGGAGCTTACTCGAGAATCTTGGGTGCTTAGAACCAGGGAGCCCCAGGACCCCCTTGCTCGAAGCTCCTACTCAGCCATGTATTCATTCACTCAACAAGCATGCACTGAGCCCTATACCGTACAAGGTAATGGACTAGGACCTGAAAATGCAATATGAACAAAACACAGTCACTACTAGTAGGGGAGCCAGTTTAGCCAACAGCCAGTATAATCAGTGCAATGATGGAGTAGGCAATGGGGAGCGTAGGAGCCCCTAGCCCAGCCTGGATGGAGTGGAGAGGAATAGCAAAGCCAGGGAAGGCTTCCTTGGGAAAAAATGCCTAAACTGAGGCTTAAAGAGTAAGAGCCAGGGGAAGCAGGGGCAAAGAAAGGGCATTCCAAACCAAGGGAACAGCATGTGCAAAATCCGCGTCCATGATGCAAGTATCATTTGCCATTGCTCTGAACCTCTCTTGGCAGCACTGGACAGTCCAATCCATAATGTTGCTTCTTAGTTTTCCCCAACTTCTTACACCCCTGCTGCCCTGTGTTCATTTACAATGAACAGAACCATAGTCTGGAATCTTTGCTGGTTCCCTCCTCCTGGGCTCATCCCATTATACAGAATGCCTTGTCACCCTGCCTTGAATCTCATGGGCAAACTCACTGCATGGTGCCTCCAGCCTGGCAACCACTTTGCCTGGCATTTCCCTGCCTCTCCATATTCTATAGGTAACCTTGTTGCCACAGGCAACCCTACCCTTTCCCTACCCCGGTAGCACTGCTTTTTTCCTTCTTGAATGTGATTTTCTAAGGTCAGCACCTCCTGTCACTTGCTTTGGTGCTTTGCAGGGGTGATGTGCAATTTAAAAGAATTCTCTGCTCCTAACAAGCCTTGGATCGCCTCGGGCAGAGTCCAGCTGGGCAGAGAACACCTGAACTAAATCTCAGCTGCAAAAAATATTTTCTCCTTTTTCTTTCCCTCACGAATGCAGTTGGCCTCACTCCCTCTCCCCATCGTTCCAAAACGAATCTCATTCTCTCGCCAGCCTGGTCCTTCTGCTCCACCTGAGTCGACAGTGAAGCATGCTATCTTCTAAAAGAATCGTTCTAGTATGTCTGTTTTATAAAAATCCTTTCCTGGATTTTGTGGGATGGCCAGTGCCAGATTTCTCACTATTCTTTTCTGTTCCTTGACATTCACCAAGCGTATGCCCTGGGTTTGGCTCCTAACCTGGCTGACACTCAGGGCCGCCTCCTCCCACCCCTCCCCAGACTAGGGTCTTCCCTCTTCCTGGCCCTCAGCCTGCTTATCTCCATGTTTCCCTGGCGACAGGGTGGCCCAAACCTGGGCCCAGCTCAATATTTCTCTTCTCGCCCACTCTTCACATCCCACATGGTTTAACTCGTGACTAAATTTCCTCTCCAAACCAGTATGCCATGTTTTTCCTTTCTTCCTGTATTTTATATATTTATTTGAGATGGAGTCTCCCTCTGTCACCAGGCTGGAGTGCAATGGCGGGATCTTGGCTGACTGCAACCTCCGCTTCCCAGGTTCAAGTGATTCTCTTGCCTCAGCCTCCTGAGTAGCTGGGACTACAGGCGTGTGCCACCTCACCTGGCTAATTTTTTATATTTTTAGTAGAGACACGGTTTCACCATGTTGGCTAGGATGGTCTCCATCTCCTGACCTCGTGATCCGCCAGTCTCAGCCTCCCAAAGTGCTGAGATTACAGGCATGAGCCACTGTGCCTGGCCAATTTATTTATTTTTTGAGACAGGGTCTCTGCCTCCCCCAGTTCAGGTGATCCTGCCACCTCAGCACCCTTCCATCCCACCAAGTAGCTGGGATTACAGGTGTGTGCCACCATGCCTGGCTAATTTTTGTATTTTTTGTAGAGATGGGCTTTCGCCATTGAACGCCTGGGCTCAAAGTGATGCACCAGACTCAACCTCCAGAAATGCTGGGATTCCAGGCATGAGCCACTGCCCCCAGCCTTTTCATTTTATTTTTTAAATTTAAATCCTCGAATCCCTGCAGGGTGCCCATTCTTCACCAGTTGTTAAAAGGGATATGGGTCTTGTTCTTCCTTGGCTCTGTTTTCCCTTCCCTGGGTAGAGGTCTTCCCAAAGTTCCTTGCTTAAGGCTGTTGAAAGGAGCGTGGTTTTCTTTAACTTAAGCTCCTGAAAACTGATAACATGTTGGAAATCCACTCCTGGCTTATTATTCCTAAATCTACTTTTTTTTTCCTTCTCATATGATTCAACCAGAGTTTTAGTTGAAATTCTTTTTGTTGTTGTCGTCAGTAAATCTTAAATTCACTGCTCAAGTTTTGAGCTTTCCCTATAAATCTTCTGGCAAAATGAAGGAGAGAAAAAAAAAAAAACACACATCATGAAAAGGCAAGAATTAGCTGCTGAGCTGTGGAGTGAGCTGTGGTTTGCTCTTGTCTCCCAGAAGGTCCCCCCCAAACCTCTCTAAGTGACCTCTTTGTATGCACAGATGGAGTGCTGAGCTCTCTCCTTATGTGGAGAGGGTGCCTTGCCAAGGAGGCAATGGCTCTCTCCCCCTGTGCAGATCTACGCAGGGTTTGGCTGTGGGGCTAAAGCCATGCCGTGTAGGCTCTGGCACACTCTTGACTCTGGATCTGCCCCTTCTGAGATCTGGGTCCTGCCTCGAGAAGAGGGATGGAACCAGGAGATGCTGGGCAGGGTTGTCATGTCGAGGGGCTTAAGGACCTGTGGCCAGAGAGAACTGCCCTCGTGAGAGAGACTGACTCCAGGCTTCCAGCAGCAGGTCTGACAGAGCCTTTAAGCACACACTGTGTGCTCAGTCTCTGCCCTGGTCGCAGCCCTGTCTTAAAGCCTTTGGCAACGCCCAGGTGATCTGGGTAAAAGTAAGCTCCAGGCAGAGCAATTCAGTAACAATGCCACCTCCCCAGGACATTAGCTAGCCAAGTGTGAACATGTCTTTCCTTCAGATTTGCCTGGAATGTTAGCTCTAATTCTCCTCTTGGAGAAAGCCGTCATTCACAGGAACCAACCAGCTCATCTCCAGCTCTGGAATTCCATTCTCAGAGCCAAAACTGACTAGCTTGCAGAGAGCCAAAGTCCTGGGCTAGTTGAAAAGAATGTTTGGGCAGCTCAATTTATGGACTGAGGGCCTTGCAGGAGGAATGGCAAGAACTAATGGCGTATGTGTATGTGTGCATATGTAAAGTCAATATGCTAATCGTGCTTAACAACGGGAGCTAGTACTAGGTAACATTGAGGAAAATATCCATGTGTTTTTGAATTATGAGACCACAGGAATGATGTGTGGAGCTAATAGGGAAACAGTTCAATATGGTACGGTTTTTGAATTCCTTAGGCTGCTACAGGAATAGAGAGGGAGGCTGAGGAGGTGAGGCTTGGACATCCCCCACCCCAGTTCAACTAAGACAGCTTTGTTCTATAAGTTGGGATTTCATAGGAACTTCTTTACTGAGAAAAAAAAGGTTGAGATTTTACTGTAAAGGGTGAAAGGAAGGAAAGTAGGTAAATATATACCTACCTACATAAGCAGGCATACATACAGATAGACAGATCCAAAAATCACAGGTAGAAGAAAGCGTATCTCTCAGGGATTATGAGACCTTGGAGCTGCCAGTGTCTGTTGTTGACTTTGTGATTGTGGGCACATTGCTTCATCTATCAGGGCCTCAGCTCTCCCACAGGAGAGAACAGTGGTATTGGAACCATGTCTCCCTTAGTGACATGCAATGCTGTTGTAAGGGTTAGGAGAGTTCGTATGTACAAATGTTCTTCTCACTTGAGAAGTGCTGTGTGAATACAGGCAATTTTTTGGTGTGTTTATTTTCTCTCTTCCTTCCCTACAAGGAAGTCTTATGGAGGCAGCATTCTCACCTCCTCCAGTGGGAACATTTGAGAAATTGACCTATCCAACACCAGTATCTGGGCCACCATGCATGGTTGTTCACACTGGACACTGCACAAGGCTGCCCAGCCAAGAGAACAGATGGGAACTGAACTCTGGCTCATGCTCTGTACACTGCAAGCCCTGGTGCAGGAAGGCAGGGGGACCATTCTCTAATTCATACTGAAGCATGTTGGGGCTAGGGAGGCCCTGGCAGTGACATGTATTCACTTCCCACGGAAGCAGAGTAAAGAGATCCAAGGATGAGTTTCCAGTTCTGCTTTTCATTGCTTGCCAGCCCTGGAGGTGCTCTTAGCTGTTCAGGAGGAGGAGCATCCATTGTGCTGATGTCTCTGAACATCTCAGGAAAGCAGCAGAAGGCTCCCTGCTGCCTTTTACCACCCCCATGGAAATTCACAGTGGTGAACCTGCTTAGCAGCTCTGATTAAATTGAAAAGGGCTCCCTGAAATACCATTTGCCCTTGTCCAATTGGCAAAAATTCCAAACACTGACAATATGCCAGGGGCAGGGCTGTGAAAAACAACATTCTTGAGATGGTGTTGTTGGTAGGAATATAAAATGGCATAGCCCCATTGAAGAATTTGACTCTGTCTGATAAAACTGCGTATATGTCTACCCTATGACCCAGCCATTCCACTTCTGGGAACTGATCCCAGAGATCTGCCTCCATGCATACAAAAACACAAGAATATTCACTGTAGCAGTATTTATAATAACCAAATAGTGGAAAGAAGTCAAATGTTGACCCATAAGAGATTGATTGCATAAATTATAGTCTATCCATGAAGTAGAGTACTTTGCAGCCTTTAAAAAAAATAAACAGAGGAAGATCTCTGCGAACTAATGTGGAGGGATTTCCAGGATTTCTTGTTAGGTGAAGAAAGAAGTTTATTTAGAAGTATACTACATTCTATGTAAGAAATAAGAGGATATTAAAAATTGGCCTATGTATTTGCTTACACAGCAGGACTAACCAGAAACTAATGAAAATGGTTAAATATAAGGTGTGGAGGACAGAAGGATAAGGATAGGGCTTCTCTGAGTGCAACTTTTGACTTCTGGACCCTATAAATGCTTTGTGCATTCAAAACTGTAAATTTAAAAAAAGGATTTCTAAAAGAAATTTAATACCTAAAATACAAAGAAAACCAAGTATGCCACTTATCAAATTGATAACTACAGAGAGTAACTTTTGAACATGTACTCCGATCATACATTTTTAACAGCTTTATTGAATTACATACCGTAAGGCTCACCCATTTTTAAAAGTATACATTTCGTGCAAATCAAAACCATAAATATCATCTCACCCCAGTTAAAATGGCCATTATTATGAAAGCAAACAATAACAGATGCTGATAAGGATGCAGGCAAAAGGGAACTCTTACATACTGTGGGTGGGAATGTAAATTAATACAGCCACTATGGAAAACAGCATGGAGATTTCTCAAAAAACTAAAAATAGAACTACCATACCATTCAGCAATCCTACTACTGGGTATTTATCTAAAGGAGAATAAATCAATGTATCAAAAGGATATCTGCACTCCTATGTTTACTGCAGCACTATTCACAATAGCAAAGATACAGAAGCAACCTAGGGGTCCACCAATACACAAATGGAAAAAGAAAATGTGGTGTATAATATATAGTGGAATACTATCCAGCCACAAAGAAGAATGAAATCATGTCATTTGCAGCAACACATATGGAACTGGAGGACATTATATCAAGTGAAATAAGCCAGGCTCAGAAAGAAGATTACTGCATATTCTCACTCCTGTGTGGGAGCTAGAACACTTTATCTCATAGACACAGAGGATAGAATGATAGGTGCCAGATACCAGGAAGGGTGGGTGAGTGGGAGTGGAGAATGAAGAGAGGTTGGTTAGTGGGTACAGACATACAGTTATATAGAAGAAATAAGTTCTCAGGTTTGATAGTAGAATAGGGTGATGATACTTAGCAACACTATTTTGTGTATTTCAAAGTAACTAGAAGAGAGGACTTGAAATGATACCAAAATATAGAAATGACAGATATTCAAGATGATGGATACCTCAAATACCCTGACTTGATCATTACACATTCTATGCATCTAACAGTTGCATGTACCCCATAAATATTTAAAATGTTATGTATCAATAAAAGAAAAAATACATTTCAATGGTTTCTGTTATATTTACAGAGTTATGCAATCATTATAATGTTACTTCAGAACTTTTTCATCTTCCCCAAAAGGAACCTTGTACCCATTTGCAAGTCCCTCCCAATATCCTCCATACCCTGGCCACCAGCCCTAGGCAACCACTGATCTACTTTCTGTCTTCTGACCATATATCTCTTTAGTGGGATACACTTTGAAGATAAAAATACTAACCAATAACATAAACAAAAGCCCTGGAAAGAAATCTCAAATTGTGTGTAGCAGGTTTATTGTTAGTAGTAATATTGCTATTAAAACTGTTACACTATTGATTGTGTATTATAGGATAACGCAGATGAATATATTTATTACTAATATTATTCAGAACCAAGATTTTTATGGTAAAAAAATGTACAAATACAAAATAAGTGAAGGTAATGAAAACCTTATTTTATGAATAAGAAACATCAATATGAACTCATGAAAAAAAAAATTCTAGTTCTATGCACTGAAAGGATCTGGAAGCTCTTTACGACTCTTCTGTAGCAATGAGCACACCTAATACCTAGATCTTGGTATCTCGATATAAGACACCATATTTTTTTGCTATGAAAAGCAAACAGAGCCTGCTGGAGAAATGTTTGATTCAAGATCTGGATCAAGGAAAGTAAAAAGTAATTGGGGATTTTTTTTTTTTTTGTCCAGAAAGCAAGGAACTGCTCATTGGAGGTCACATTAAAAGGACACAAGAAAGTGTACTCTATGGCCAAATTTGGGACAATTTAAGTATTCTAAAAAATAGTGATGGTAATAGATAATCACAATTCAGTTAAAAATTACAAAAACAAGTTCATAGAAATGTTAATAAAGGGGTAAGGGTGGGGGACATGAAGACAGCTCTTCTTTACAAAAGAATGCCTGCTGATACATGGAGAAGAAATGACAGAATTAGAAAATCACCATTTTGCAATCCCCAGTGGAACAATTGATTTGGGCAAAAGTCATCACTGGATGCTAAAACCACTGGGTGAAACATATTGGGCACTACATGCACACAGTCGTCTCAAAGCATCATCATGACACTTTGAGTACCATTTCACAGATCATACTTATTACAAAGTGGGAGAAGATACCTTCATAATGTAGAGATCTGGAGGCCAACACCTTGACCCAGTGATCAAGGTTGGCATCACCAGCAGCAGGACAGTCTGAGGTATGTGCCTTCTAATGGGATGCATTAAGGTGTCCATAACATCACCCATATAGTGTTCTTGCCAAAAATATTTAATTGGAATCTAATCATGAGAAAACAGACAAATCCAGAGTGTGAGGCATTCTATAAGACAACTGGCCAGGGCTCTTCAGAAAGAGCCGATACTGTAAAAAACAAACTAGCAAACAAAAATATCAGGGCGTATTTTACATTTAAAGGACTCAAGAAAAATAACCACCAGATGAATTGTGTGAATGTTGATTAGATCTTGTCTTTTGAAAAAAATTCTGTAAAAGACACCATGGGACAACTGGGGATGTCTGAATGTGGGCTGTATATGAGATGTTCTTTTTGAATGGTTAATTTTCTTAGGTGTAATAATGTGGTTATGTAGGAGAATATCCTTATTCTTAGGAGAAGTTTGTTGAAGTAGTTAGCAGTGGTGTGTTTTGATGTCTACAAAATAATCTCAAATAGTGGAGCAACAATAAATATAAATACAGAAAGAACAAGAAATCAAATATGGCAAGATGAGTGTAAGCAAAAGGTGATGGGTGTTCATTATTTTATTTTTACAACTCTTCTATAGATTTAAACAGTTTCAAATAAGAAGTTTCAGGGAGAACTTTAAACTTGCTGAAGTAGGGGGCCTCATATGTGGGGGAGACTTCTCCCATCTGCCTTTCCTGTGGTTCAGCCTGGGCCAGGTCATCTCTTCTGCCATCTGTACGTTCTCTGACTCCTTCCCAAGCTGAAACATCATCTCGTCTCTTGTTTCCACTCAGGTGAAGACCCCCTTGTGGACGATCAAAATGAACGAGATATCAATTCAGTCGCTGGTGTTTTAAAACTGTATTTCCGAGGACTGGAAAACCCACTCTTTCCTAAGGAAAGGTTTCAAGATTTGATATCTACTATTAGTAAGTATTTCCCAGGTGAAATGATCAGTTCTTTGACAAATCATTGTTGGAGTAGAGCTACAGGCTCATTGCTGTGCTAGGCATAGAGGAGGGATATTATGAAAGAGGAAGTGTGACCTGCATCCTCTTAGAACTGAAAGCAGAAATAAGAAGATGGTTTATAATGAAAGGGCTAATGGGCATGTCACACCCCCTGGGTAGAGAAGGAGCTCAGGGGAGAACCAGAGGAAGACTTGGTTTCACAGATCAGAGCCAAGAGAGAGAGTGCTGGGAGCAGAGTGTTCCAGGAGGAACGGGCACAGGGGATCCTGAGAAGGGCTAGGGACATAGACCCAGTGGGACCAGCAGGAGGGTGTCCCAGCCTGTGCATGGCGCAAGAGGTTGGAAGGGGAAAATGGAGCAAGAGGGGGAAGACCTTGAATGCCTTGCAAACATTCCAGAGCTTTTCTCCTGGGGTGATGGGGAGCCGTGGAAGGTCTAGAGGTCAGGTCAGCAGCATGACCAGCAAGGGAAATGGTGACAGTAAGTTGACTGGGGATTTTCTCTGACATTGCTAGTTAGTTGAGAGAAACTGTTATGTTTCTGTGGATAAAATCAGGAGGAACCCAGTCTAGGGGGCTGATATCATGGTACCTTGACTCTGAGATACCCAAATCCAAAGTAACCTTTTGGAAATTTTTTTACAAATTAAGCTTTCAACTTTAGAATATTAGAATTTTACTCATTTAGAATAAACTTTTAAATTTGATTCACAGAAAAGTTGCCCCACACCCAGTTTCATTTGGGGTGTTTCTCACAGTACTCTGAGAGATATTTGCAGTCAGTAAAGTGTTCCTGGAGATGGCAAGAGAAGAGGGAGGTTTGAGCTCTCTTTTATTGTGTGTGTAAAAGACCCTTCTGTTCCCCCTTCCCTCCACACTATTCCCTGCTCATCCTTCCTGACCTTCATACTGCAAGCTCTATTCTAGACTGCAGAGGTCTGACCCTGTCTGAGCCCTGTATCACTTGCTCAGCCAGTGTTTCCAGAACCCCCAAAAATCCTGTTCCTGTGCAGGGCCCTGAGCAAATTTCAGGTCTAGGATGACCTGGAAACAGGGGTCAGAGATGAGATCCCAAGCATCTGCCAGACTTTGGCTGATAGGTAGTTTGAGAAGTGGTGATTTATTCCATGTTCATTTCCTGAGCAGCTACTATGTGTCAGACCTGTGCTGCAGCTGGTGTTTGTAAAGAGTTTAATAAAACATGGTCCCTGCCTGTGTCTATCAGGACTCACAGGTAACAGAAACCCAGCTTAAACCTGCTTACTTCATAAAAGGGAATGCACTGTTTGGGTACCTGGAAAGCTTAGGTCCAGCTGGACTCAGACCTTCACACGGCATCAGCAGATATATGCCCCCTCCATCTCTATGCCAGCTTCACTCTTAGGTGGGATCCTCCTCTCGGGGGCCCCCACTGTGCTCCAGGCTTCCCTCTACCCAGGTCCAAGAGGGCACCTCCCTGTGGGTTTCTCACAACCAAAGTCCCAAGAGTCGACTCTGGTTGGTTCTTGATTAGGCCACACCTCCAGCCTCTCCCTGTAGCCAGGGAGATGGATGCTCTGATTGGCCAGGCCAGGATCACCTATGATCCCCGGAATCAAGAGTAGAGCTGTCTTCTCCCATCCACGTGGACTGATATAGGAGATGTGGCAAGCGAACATTTGCTGCTTTGCTCTCTGAGGATGAAAGGCACGCTGAAAGGCCCCTTTATGTTACAGAACTGGAGAACCCAGCTGAGAGGGTGCACCAGATCCAACAAATTCTCGTCACCCTTCCCCGCGTGGTCATCGTGGTCATGAGATACCTCTTCGCTTTCCTTAACCAGTGAGTGTCTGGCCAAGGGGCCCCTTTTTGACTCAGGCCTGGCCTCCTTTGGGAGGGGGTATCTTGAGGCTTCTGCAGATGCTATTTTTAAAGGAGAACATGGAACCCTCCTGGATTTGTGTAGAGTCCCCCAAAAGAAAAAAAACATAGGGGGAGGACTTGCCTTTCCCAGATGACTTGTGGGTAACTCCTCTCTCCTAGCCTCTCCCAGTATAGCGACGAGAACATGATGGATCCCTACAACCTGGCCATCTGCTTCGGGCCTACCCTCATGCATATCCCTGATGGGCAGGACCCTGTGTCCTGCCAGGCACACATCAATGAAGTCATCAAAACCATCATCATCCATCATGAAGCCATCTTCCCCAGCCCCCGGGAGCTAGAGGGACCTGTGTATGAAAAATGCATGGCTGGAGGGGAAGAATATTGGTAAGATGCCATTCCTCTTAATATTATTATTATCATCATCATTGTTATTTCCATTGAACAGGAACAATAAGAAACGCTTCAGTTTTCTTACTGCTTGATAGTCAGTGCTTCCATATACATTTTCTCATCTGAGCTTCACAGCAGTCTTACATGAGAGAGAGGTACATCAGTTAGGATTCTCTTGGTTACAAGGGACAGACATACAACTCAAATTGCCTTAAGCCAAATGGAACTTTATTGGTTTACTTAAGTAAAAAGTCTGGGGGTATATCTTCAGGTATAGCTTGATCCAGGGGCTCAACTATTACCGCAAGGACTTGGTTCTGCAGTCTCCATCTCTTGGCCCTGCTTTATTCTGTGTTGGCTTCATTCCTGGACAGCCATTTCCTTGGTGGTTCAAGCAGGCAACCAGCAACTCAAGATCTGTAACTCACTCTCTTAGTATCTTCAATAGAAAATACCCTTTCCTTCCCAAATGTTCCAACACACGCTCAATAACTGTTTCATTGCTGAGGTTCGGGCCTGGTGAAGTAATCACCTTGGTAAGAAGATGCAATGCTTTAACTGGCCATGTGAGTCACAAGCCCAACTCAGGAAGCAGGGGAGTGAATAGTCCCCACCTCAACTTCATGAACTGAGTATGACACTTACCACCCTTGTTTCCTCTCACCTAGGAGTTCTCTTTTCCAGACAAAGTAGCTCAGTTTCTTTGTGTGTTCAACACCATGTCAACAATCACTAATTAGGGACTTCTGTGTGCCTGGTATACCTGGTACTACACTAGGTCTTAGGAGAAATATTTTAGAAGCTTTTCAAAGTCAGGGCTTTAAAAGCTTCGCCAGGCTAAGACCTTAAAATGTCAAGACAGGAAAAATGTTTAAATGTGGTGAAGACAGGAAATTCAGGACACTAAATGACAGAGACCAAAGCGTTTTTACTATTTCTTTATTTCCAATTCAAGAGAGCACACAGCTATATATTTAGGTATTACCCACGCTGCCTTCAGCCAGGTGCCTACAGGGGAGTTTGTTTTTTGATTGTCAAACGTTCCTGGACTTTTGAATTGCCTTAGTACTGTGAGCATATTTGGGCAGCTGCTTCAAAGAAGGAAGGTGTTCCAGCCTTTGTGTTTCCTTCCCACATGCCTCCCTGCATAGAGATACTGGGTCATAGTCATGTCTAATCACAACTCTCTAATCTCGTTTGAGGCACTAGGGGGCAAATCCATCCCTGTTCTGTAACAGAAACATTAAACAGCTGGCAAGCATAATTTCTGGACAAAGAGACTTGTCACACAGTTTTTGCAACCATTACCAGTTCTCTTTTCTTGCTGCAATATATATAATTAGTGTTCTGGGAAGGGACGCACAGATCTTCGTGTACTTATCAAAGAACAATATACAATAACCACACTTTTCTTAATCCTATTTGTTTCCCACAAGACCGTAAAACTATTAATTACATGGTAATTTTGGAGTTTTCACAACCAGAAGGGAGACTTGGCTGAGGGTCTCAGCACAGTAGACAACATTCATTCATTCATTCAACAAATGGTTACCAAGCATCTGTTGTGGGCTGGATTCTGTGCTGGGAGTCAGAGATGTAACCAAACAAGATTGGCCCCTGGCGCAGGATCGCTGATGGAATAGGAAACAAACGGCTCCAGAAGTGGGGCTCCCTGAGCCAGTCTAGGGAAATCAGGAAGGGCTTCCTTGGGGAAGTACAGACTGAGCTGAGACTGCAGAATGAACTGGAGCCAGCCCAGTGAGGAGTGCACAAAGACCTGGAGCATTCAGTAGAATGAAAAGTAGTTCAGTGTGACCAGAACATAGCATGTGTGACAGGGGAATGGTGAAGGATGAGGCTCCACAGGTTGGATAGAGCCAGGCTGTGAAAAATCTTGGAAGCCACTGAGTTTGGTCCTGATTCAGGTGGCAGTGGAGAATTTTTCATAATAAAGTGCATATTCCTTTAAATGGCATTGCAAATGTCACCTTTGAGAAGCCTTCCCTGTCCACTCTTTATAGGTCCTCTCTGCTGTTCTTGTCTCTGCCCATTTATTTCCTACCTAACACTACATAACATAACTTGCAACTGTCTTATTTAATGGTATATTGACTTCGGTGTTTTTCTTGCCCCTCTCCCTACAGTGTAAGCAACACGAGGCCAGGGACCTTGTCCGCCTTATCTATCATTGCATCCCTCCTACCAGCACACTGCCTGTCATATTACAACTCACTCAATGGCTCTATAAAAAAAAAAACTGGCTGATTATGTGAATTAACCCTTGCCTCAAGAAGCTTATAATCTAGTAAGGGGGTAGTAGCTGGTGAAATTATACCAGCACATTAACAACTAAATCTGATGGACTGAAGTACTCAGCCACCATGCCCATCATAGTTGCCAGTCTACTCTCACTGCCTGCATCAATCGGGGCTTTTGCATGCAGAAAGACAGGGCAGCCCTCTTTAGCTTCATCTTACCTCCTGGGATATGTCACCTCAGCTATAAGACAGGAGAGTCAGGCCAGATGAAAGAACTCATAGTACTTCAAAGGGTTCTTTTTGTTCTGGCCTGTGGTCCTTCTGATGATAAATGCTGGGGTTTTACCACTGCCCTCTGGATCTTACAGAACACGTGAGCATTGACAGTCTTCACCAAGAAGACAGCTCAGCAAATTCCAGGGCTAGGAGGGCACTGGGGGAGATATTTGGGAAGCTTCACAAGGAGGAGGCTGGGAGTAGTTTTCTGATTAAGAATCTCCCAGGAGTGGTCAGATGGAAAAGACAGGATGATATGGGCCTGCATCTGAGCTGCAGGAGGGCCCAGAGGCCAACTGGACTGGCATGAGAGACTGAAGATGCTGTGAGGGTAGATAACCCCCACAGTGAGTCCCCTTCCCATGTTTCCTTGCAGTGACAGCCCACACAGCGAGCCAGGGACCATCGATGAAGTTGACCATGACAATGGCACTGAACCTCATACCAGCGATGAAGGTGAGTGAAGGGTATCCTGGGGACAAGGGATTCTTCCTGGGGCCTCTCACGCTGACTTATGTCAGCCCAACCACAGGGCTGGCCCACGTAGACACGTAGACCTCTTCAGCTTTCCAAGTCAGCCATCTGTCCTTCAGAATAGATGAAGACCCAGAAAAACGTTCATGGCATGCCCCAAGTCCTGGCATGGGCCTGACACAGAGCAGATCCTCATAGGCTCACGCTGTGTGCATCACACCCCACACCTAGCCCACTTCATTCCTTAATGTGTCCTGCCTGGCCCAGGGACAAATCCTAAGTGACACGAGTTTCCTAAGTAGAAAGCAAGCTCTGTTCCTCCATCATTCCCCTGTCAGGGTCTACTCTGTGCCAAGCCTGTGCTGGGACTTGGGCACAGGAATGAACAAGATGTCGGTCCTCAAAGAACTCCCAGTCTGTCACCAGATCTTGGCAGGTTGGAAGTAGCTTCTCATGGTGCAAAGCGATAATGCCAGATTACAAGTGTGTCTGGTGCATTGGGCACCCTGGAGATGAAATCAAAGGGTGATGATCCTGGGAAGTGTATGGTGAGAGACAGAGAAAAAAAGGCCAGTCAAGACCTTTCTCCAGATTCCTCCACCCTTTTCAGACAAGGAGAAGAGAGTCGGACTAGTCTCTAGGGAAACTGGACTGCATAGACAAGCAATCTGAACCACATGCCAGCTTATCCATCAGGCAGAGTGGGCACAGTGCCAAGGGCCCATGGTACTTGTAGAGGTCCACTAAAATGTTTTAATTTATTTTAAAATCAGAAAAAAATGAACACAATATCCAGTCTGGATTATATTTGTCTTTATACTAATGCAGTTGTAAAATATTATTTTTAACTTTTTTTTTTTTTGAATGGAGGAAGGAACCCATGCAGGCAAAAGTGCCTAGAACTCTTGAAAGTTAGAATACAGCCCAGGAGGCACCAAGCACCTGGGATAGTTTTCCTTTTTAAACGTCATGGCTTAGCAGTTCTCTTACTTGTCCTTTGTGTTTCTCTTGTGGGACCGGGTCATGTTGGCTACCACATTTGTCAGGAGAGCAGGGCAGGCACTCAGGTGATAGTTCTGGGAACTGGCAAAAGAGACAAGACTGATAGATGGGTTTTCACAGTCTAGTAGGACTATTTCAGTTGCTAATGACAGAACCCCCAACTCAAATCAACTTAAGCTTAAAAGGGAATTAGTTCCTATACCTGAAAAGTCCCAGAGTTGGCATGGCTTCAGGCACAGCTGGATCCAGGAGCAAGGGTGATTTTGTCAGCACTTTGTCTGTCTTCTTGTTCTGCTTCCCTCTGTGCCGGTTTCATTCTCATGTAGGATCTTCCTGTGCAGTGGTCTCTGGCAATTCCAGACTTTCACCATCATCTTACCCAGAGTCTCAATGGAAAAGAGCTTCCTTTCTATAATGGTTCCAAGAGAGGTCCTGGGGTGGAGTCTCATTGGACTGCCTTGAGTCATGCACCCAGGCATGATCCAGTCCCCGTGGCCTGAGAGGGAGCTAATGAGTCAGACCTGGGTCACAGGTACAGAAAAGCAAATCCAGATATCACGTTCAGCTTGATCAGACTCCCGAGAGGCGAAAGTCATCCTAAAATGAGGAACGTGTCCTGCAGAGGCTTTGTTTGGAGATGTGAAGGCTGCCACCTTCTGCTTATTCCTGGTGATTTGCTTTTCTCTTTCCTCCTTTTTTTCTTCTGCCGACCACCTCCAGTTCTCGCCCTCCCTCTATCCCTTTTAACAGCCCCCACCCTGTCCTCTCCATCTGTTGCTCTTTGTATTTCTGGATCTCTTTCTGTCTGTCTCTTTCTCTCTCTCTCTAGCTTGCTCTGTCTCTATCTCTCTCCTACTCCTGACATTTCCTCTCCTTTGTCTTGACCAAAGCACCTGCCTTCCTGGGGGCTGAGGTCCCTGTCAGTCCCTTTGCTGGTTTTTCCACAGTTCCTTGGGCTGATGGGCAGAAGGCTGCTCTGAACACCAGGAATGAAGATGAGGAGGGACAGAGAGAATAGGTCTTGCTGGGTCCGTGAAGAAGCAGCCATGGGACTCACCCAGTGGGGCTTCATCTGCATAAGAACCACCCCCCCAGAAAGTGCTATCTCCCCCTTCTCAGGGTAAAGATTCACAGTGGCTTCCAGAATGCGTGAGTCAGAGCTTTGTGTCCCCCTCCCAGAAGATCCTTCTTCCTTTTGTTCTTTGTGAGGCTGCTGGTTTCTGGGAATGACAAAGGCAGGAAAAATCATTCTGGAAGGGAAGAAGCCACAGGCTGGGAGAGCCAGTTGCATGTTCCCTGAAGGCTCTCAAAGTATCCTGTGTGTATTAGTGAGGGGTATTGAATCAGGGCACTCTTTGGTGGAAAATCAATTTCATTTTCTAAATGTTACATTCATGCCGTCCCTGGCCAAACAGTGGCAGAATAGTGACCTGCAGAGACAGTCAAGGGGTCACCGTGCTCAGAAAAGAGAGACCTGGAATTGAAGCACAGAGGGAGTCCTTATGGTCATGTAATCTGAGGGAAGCCACATCACCTCTGGCCTCTATTTCCTTATGTATAAAATGGGAATGACAGCACCAAGCAAATTATGGCATGGGTTAAAATGTGGGTTAATATGTGAAGGAGCCTAGCACAGTGCCTGGGACAGGGAGGTAGATAAGAAACATCAATGGACTCTGTATCAAACAGACATCCTTCCTAATCCTGATAGAGAAACTGAGTCCTGGAGAATTTTCTTGACATAACTGGCATTGGCAGTTATCGGTCATTGGCAACCTAAACCTCCTGATTTGTTTACCTATTTCCTCTTAGACATTTCATTTAGGGGATCATCAATATCTGTCTTCTTTTCTCTTGACAGCACCCTGTATGAATGGAACCCAGCAGGCCTCAAAGGTCAAATCAGGCAGAGAACCATGAGTCCAGGTCTTTGTCGTACATGAATCAGCCAATGAATGCCAAATTGGAGGAACAATTTAGTTGTTTGGGTATCTGTTGCCTTTCTTGTCTCAAAGATTCTGTACCAGCTGGGCGTGGTGGCTCACACCTGTAACCCCAACACTTTGGGAGGTTGAGGTGGTCAGATGGCTTGAGCCCAGGAATTCTAGACCAACCTGGGCAACATGGTGAAACTCCATCTCTGAAAAAAAAAAATACAAAAATTAGCCAGGCATAGTGGCATATGCCTGTGGTCCCAGCAACTCAGAAGGTTGAAGTGGGAGAATTGCTTGAGCAATTGAGGTTAAGGATGCAGTGAGCCATGATCATGCCACTGCACTCCAGCCTGCGTGACAGAATGAGGCCCCATCTCAAAGAAAAAAAAAAAAAAAAGATTCTATACCTAACTGACGCCTATTCTCCTGTCTTGAGTCTGATAAGTCTGGAAATTCCACAGTGCTTTCTCTTTGGTCTCCAAGATTTATATAAAGAAACCATGGTTAGGCCAAGAATCCTTGACTAAATGAAAAAATGAAGGCAGCCTGTCACTAACAACTTTATTAATTGGAAGCTAAATGAGAAACAAGATTGTTAGATTATAAAACCACTAAAATCAGTGACAGAGGCATGTTTTATGGGTGATATGTCCATATTCAATTATAATTGTGCCACCATTCTCTTACTGATATTTTCCTGAAATTTTTGAGGTTACCTTTGACTCCTCCCCCATTGGTCTGTTTACAATTTCATATGAATGGTGTTGTACAGAATAGAGTTGTTTGACTCTGTCCTCTTTCACTCTGCATAATATTCTGAGATTCATTTATGTCGTGAGTATTCAGGTGAGGTTTTTGATGGTATTAAAATGGGATTAGTCCATTTATATACAAACACCCCAGTTCTCCTGGAACCTGAACTCATAGCCACTCCTTTTTCTTTCCTTTTTCTTTTCTTTCCTTCCTTCCTTCCTTCCTCCCTTCCTCCCTTCCTCCCTTCCTCCCTTCCTCCCTTCCTCCCTTCCTCCCTTCCTCCCTTCCTTCCTTGACAGAGTCTCGCTCTGTCGCCAGGCTGTAGTAAAGTGGTGCAATCTTGGCTCACTGCAGCCTCTGACTCCCTGGTTCAATGATTCTCCTGCCTCAGCCTCCTGAGTAGCTGGGATTAGAGGCATGCGCCACCATGCCCAGCTAATTTTTGTATTTTTTAGTAGAGACGGGGTTTCACCATGTTGGCCAGGCTGGTCTCAATCTCCTGACCTGGTGATCTGCTTGCCTCAGCCTCCCAAAGTGCTGGGATTACAGGCATGAACCACTGTGCCCGGCCCACTCCTTTTCATAAGAAATTAAGAACAATAGAAAAAAAGAACAGCGGCCAATGTCTTATACTTGGTGTATGTTTCTAATCACTAGTAATAAACATGGTAAGCTGGCTCGCGGCATTTGGCTCAGGCCTTATACCTAAGAAGGACCCTGCCTTCTTTTTAAAACCACTTTATTGAGTTATAGATCACACACCACACAATTTACCCTTTTAAAGTGTACAACTGAGTGATTTTTTTGTATATTCACGGATATGTGCAACTATCACCATGGTCAATTAGAGAACATTTTCATCATCTTGAAAAGAAGCTCTGTACCCTTTAGCTATCACTCCTTACACCCTCCCATCCCTGCCCCCCACATTTCTCCCAGCCCTAGTCAATGCACCTGTAAATCTACCCACTGTCTCTATGGATTTGTCCATTCTGGACATTTTATATAAATAGAATTATATAATATATGGCCTTTCTCTTAGCACACAGTTTTCTAGGTTCAGCCATGCTGTAGCATGAATCAGTACTTAGTTTTTGATGGCTGAATAATATTCCATCATATGAAAATGCCAGACTTTGTTTATCCATTTGTCAATTGATGGACATTTGGGTTGTTTCTACTTTCAGCTATTATGAATAATACTGCTGTAAACATGTGTGTGCAAGTTTTTGTACAGACAGAAGTTTTCATTTCTCTTGAGTATATACCCAGGAGTGGAATTGCTGGGTCATA